ATTACAGCATCAGTCGTCATCATCAGACATGCCACACTCATGTTCGTGCTCACTCTCCTCTTCGGGCTCAGGGACCTTCTCTTTGCCCTTTCTCTCCTCAGGGGTTGGCAGCGCCACTGATTTTGCCGGCCGTCTGGTTTTTTGCTTGCGCCAGATGTCCACCACATCCGGCCACACGTACGGGTAGTTGAGCATGTGAAGGGTCATTAGGTCGCCAAGGCGTGCGTCGCCCAGCGACGTGCGCATCCAGCTCTTGATGATGTTTTGCCTGCTGAAACCTCTCTCACACTCCACGGTGCTAAGCGGGAGCACAGCAAGTGCCTGCCACAGTGTGATTAGGTTCGGATAACTGCGTCGCCACTCTTTGGTCTTCATCATGCTCTGCAGTCCTTGGTGGAAATCCTCGCGATCGTGATGACGTGCCAAGATGTGGCAGAAGCTCCTGAGTTCCTTCTTTGCCTTCTTCAGGTCAAAACCTGACGTGGATAGGGAGATACAGGGGGGAAGTACGGGTGGGGGTTATTGGGTAGGTGTTGGCTTGCAGATGCATGCAACGACGAATCCGACGAGATGGCAAGTGTCCTGTTCAAACTCACCAGGGAGCTGGCCGCCAAAAAGCTCGTCGTTCTGAATCAGCCAATCCATGCACTTGATCTCCCGCTGGTCATCCCCGGACGGCCACGCTTCCACCTGGAAAAGCTTCGCGCCGCCCATTTGCTGCAAGTCCCACATGCGAAACTTCATGCGGGCCACAATTTCCTTCGCGAATCCTGAGCAAAGCTTCTCACAGTCAGCGAGCGTGCCTCCGAACTTGTGCTTCTTGATGGGTTTCTCGCTCAGCACGAATCGGTGTGTGGTCGGCCGCCCCTCGCTGTCAATCCCGTCAACCACAACCGTACGATTCTCCCCGCCGTGGTCGTTGATGAACTTTGACAGCAGCTTGCTGACTCCGCCTCCAAAGGTCTCCCCGTAGACGATGTAGCGGTCCGTAATGATGGTGATCGTCCGGTCCACTTCCTTGGCCACCTGGGTGATGTCGACCTGGGAAGCATTGACACGGAAAGATTATTAGTACTCTTAAACAATAAGTAAACGGGTGTGTATGCAATCGGGAACGTGGCTTGCCTTGCGGTGCTGGAAGAAGCGGTTGAGGCAGTTGAGTTCTGCAAGGATGTCAGCGAGGAAATACAGGCAGAAATGAAACTTGAAGGTCTTCACCGTTGCAGCCATCTTGTGCCCGTACTCAACGATCATCACGATTGCAGCCCCGAAGACTCTGCAAAGCCGTGCGATTGCGTCACCCCGCGAGAGCCACCGAACATTAAACAGGCCTTGATGCTCGAGGTTGGTCTTGTGAATCTCCTGCTGCAGCTCTTTGAACCGCTCGTACCAGTTGTTAGAGCGGCAAATGATCTCCCCGACAGCTCGGACTCCGGCGTCGATCATGTTCAGGTCTGGAAAAGCCTTCGCAGCGTCTTTCACTACGAGCGCCTCCCTGGAACACATGAGAAACAAACGAACGTGTTGGTAAACCGCGACCTTAGAACAAGGGTACCAAAAAGTGAAGCAGTTGAGAGATTGGAAACAGAAAGTGGAGCTCACCGGTGTGCCACACAGTGACAGCCGACAAGATGCGGCACGCGTTCGCGCATCCGGACAACAAGCCCGCCTTTGTCGCCTGTCATAACCGACGCACCGTCGGTTCCAACACCGGACACGCGCTTGACTTCGAGGCCGAGCGAATCCAGGTGGCTCATCAGCACGGTGTACAGCGATGAAGCATCGCATTTTTGCAACGAGAGCAGCGCCAAGAACTCCGTCGCGGCGACGCCACTCTTGAGGAACGTGGCAAACACTATCAAGTGCTTGCCACGCGCGCGGTCCGTGCTCTCGTCACAAGTGAGGCCGACAAACGGGGAAGCAAGTAGATGCTGCAGCTGTTGTGCTCGTTGAAACTGCGCCATTGACGCCGCCATCTCGTTGAAGCCGTACCTGCCAAGCGTGGTCGGAAGGGGTTAGACAGATGAGCTGTCATGTTGGATAGCCATCATTTCTGCAAACCTCAACGGGTAAGGCGACGCTACTCACTGCGAAATGTAAACCCCGTACGACTTCAACGGGATGTCCGCAACTCCCTCCTGCGCCATAAATCCAACGAGTCTGGAGTACATGGCTATGGGGGCGTCGTTGTCGCAGATGAATTCGACGGTCCGCATCAGGCGTGTGAGCCGCGCACCTTCCTTGTCCTCGTTGGCGAAGTGCTCGATCCGTCTCTGCGTCTCGATCTCGGCCATCAGAGTCCACTGCTTCTTCAAGGCGTCGTCGTGCTTGACGCTGAGCTCGTGAGACCGCATTGAGCCGGGCTGCAGATCTCTACCGCCCGGCCCATTGCGTCCAAACTTGGCGTCGTCCTTTCCGTGCTCGACACAAATGCTGCAACGCAAGACGGGCAAACCCTCCTCGTTTTTATCAAGAAGCAGCCAGCCAAACTTTGGCAGCCACGTCGATATGTAGAGTTCCAGCGCCTTGTCGAACTTCGCTTCGGCCTTCTCGGCTTTGGTGAGCTCACGAGTCACCCGGGGGGGAGCTTTCGCGGGGGCTGGAGGTGGAGTCGGCTTCGATGGAGGCGTGCCGAACGGGAGATGGCTCTGCGCAAATCGGCGTTTCTTCTTCCCGGGAGCAGAGGAAGACTCGCCGATCTCGGATCTGCTAACGGTGGCGGGAGCACTCCCTGGCTCAGCGACGGGTGAACCAGGTGGATGGGTAGGAGGTTCTTTATCGCCGCTGATCGACGACGGGCCTGCAGTGCATACGGGCGGTGGGTTCTGATGCAGCAGCCGCAAGAAGTCTAAGCCAGTGCGCGCTGGTGCGTCACTAGGTGGCTCGTCCGGAGCTTCACCTCCATCATCTTCGACGGTGGGAGCCATGGCTGCAGTCTGGCCTGTTTAGCGGGGAAACTGGGTGCTCTGGTGGAGTGCATTTTCGAGGACCTAACACAGAACACCAACACAAGACCGCTAGTGCCCCCGACCCCCAGTGCAAACATTTCCTAACGTGCAGGCAAGGGAACCAGATGAGCCATCCACAGGATGGCATACAACGTGGTGCGCAGTGGGCAAGTGGGACTGGCAAAACTCCTGCCGTAATGCTGCTTCGGTGCCACCCTTGCAGGACAACAAGACCAACTGGGGGCATTGTTGGTGCATCGAATGTAACTACAGTACTGGCCAATGGGAGCCAAGTTCGTGCCATCACACGTTGTGTCTATACGAAAAGTACAGTTATTACAGTTGTCACAGGTGACTCGAGGTTTCGGGGAAGGGGGCGTACGGGGGGGGGGGGGAGGGGGGGAGGGGGGGGGGGGGGGGGGGGGGGGGGTTACAGGGGGGCCCGAAACACGCGTCAGGGTAAATCTCGCTAACAGATTGGAAACCCTGGGGCATCAGTGTAGCAAATTCGTTAACTCTTACTCATCAGGGTAAATGCATGTCCGGAAAAATTACCCTACCCCATCAGTGTTACTACCTAAAAAGCACCCTGTTCATCAGGGCATCAGGGTGATTTACCCTGATAAAATAGGCCCTGATGTATGAGTACAGGGAATATGAAGAGACACAGTTGTAACTACTTCACTGTTGCTGTTGCGGTTCGATACAGTGACGACTCGGGCAACTGCTCTGTAACGAGTCAGTTGTGTGTCCTTGCTATCGTACTGTATTTGTCAGGTCAAAGGTCGCTGACCTTTGACTTTCGCGTAACCTCCAGCGGTTACTTCAACCTCCGAGGGTTGACTCGCTAGTGCCTCGGTATACTCTGCTTCGCTTGTGCCTTAGTGTTTCGACACGACAGAGGCGCTTAGGAACGACTGTTTCCAACACCAACCACAAGCCAACTGCCTCGCCACCGCCCGCCATCCATGACTCGCCCTGCATCGGAGCCAATCATCGAGCCCGAAAAAATCCTGAGCCATCGGATTTGACACCCCACGGGACTCAAGAGGATTGAATTCTTCGTCCGCTGGAAGGATCGCACGCCAACTGAGGACAGCTGGGTGCCCCTGGCCAACATCGAAAACCACCCTGCCCTGCAAGTGTACCTGAGGAGTCGGGGATTCCGCGATATACACGCACTCACGTAGCGGAGGGGGCTTCTCGAGGGGGGGGGGGGGGGGGGGTAGTGTAAGGAATTTTCTCGACATTCCTTAAGGAACCCGACTACATCGCGTACAGCAACAGCCGTTGTTCGCCCGTTACTGCTAACGGGGCTTCGCCGACTTCGCGCACACTGTTTTCACCAAACCTCGCACTGCTGGCATGGCCGTTTCGGCCTACGCTTCGGGACTAGCCCAAGCCTCGCTCCAGCGTAGCACTAGCTAGCTCGCACGCACCGCGTTACCATTTGCATGTTTCGCGTATAAATGTTCGCTCATGCCTTCGCTCACATTTTGTACTCGTTTGGCGCCTTAGTGCAATTCTCGCTACTTCGATTCATTGCACCCGTAACAAGTCTTCGCACCACACAAGAAAACGTCACACGGGTCGTTGGCGAAGGGACGAGAGCCGTGAACGACGTCGCAAACGGCAACTTCTGTTTCGGGCGAACGTCACTGGTCGCCCAAGGACGTCCCCTACGAAACCAACTTCCACTCCACACCATTTTCTGCTTTTGCCTTTGTTCCATTCGCCGCTGTTGCCTCCGTCCACTCCCAATCCCCGGCTGCCCAGGCGACCCAGCGAGCCGACACCATGGACGCGATTTTCGCGCGGCTTTTCCCCGCTCCCAAGGGCCCGCACCCGCAGGGGAATGGCGCTCCCGATGGGCGCGGAAAGGATGGGCGCAGCGGGGCGAAAGCGAGTAACGAGGGCGTTCTGCGCACTGGACTGCTGGCCGGTAAGGAGTACGCGGAATTGCGACGCTGGATCGCTGGCCGGTAATGTTTCTGCGCGACTGCGACCCTGGATTGCTGTTTGGCAATGATTACGCGACGCGGGTGTGCGACGATGGGTTGGGTTACGCGCGATTGCGACGATGGCTCGGCGGCAGTAGAATTACGGATCACCCCCCTGCCTCGCACCCTTCCTCCGCCCCGTATCGTACGGGCCTTCCTCGCCTTCAACCCCCATCGCAGACCGCCCGCTCCTCCTTCCTCCCCTCTCACCCATCGTCACTCACTCTCCTATTTTCCGTCTCTCTCTATTCCTTCAATTACCTCCCCCTCTGCGTCCCCTCTCTCTCCCCTCTCCCCCCGCCTCTCCACTCACGTCTCCCACCCCACTCTCCCGCGCTCGCCGCTCGCTCCTCCGCAGTGGGCGCTGATTTCCCCCTCTAAGCCTCTCTGCCTTTCTGCTCACCGTCTCCCTCCATCCCTCCTCCCTCCCTCCCTCCATCCCTCCTCCCTCCCTCCCTCCCTCCCTCCCTCCCTCCCTCCCTCCCTCCCTCCCTCCCTCCCTCCCTCCCTCCCTCCCTCCCACCCTCCCTCCATCACTTCCCGCCTCCCTCGTTTCCCTCCCCCTTTCCCTCCTTCACTCCTCCCCTCCTCCCACTCTCTCTCCCCAGCGTCCGCCTTCGCAGCGGGCTCTGGCCTGCTGCTCGCCGCACACCACCGCACCTCACCACTCGCCCTCGCAGCCGACCCCACCGACACGCAGCAGCAGGTGCGTGCGGTACGGTACGGTACCCATGCCAAATCTCTCACCTCAAATCACATCCATCCATCCATCCATCCATCCATCCATCCATCCATCCATCCATCCATCCATCCCCTTCACGTGGCAGACAACCAACAGACCAGCTCGTTTCTCTGGCCCAATCACTTGAGGCTCGTCAGTATTCGTCCTCCACTTACCCGTTCCCCGAGGGCACCTCATAATCCGTCCCTTGTATCACCCGATCCCGTTCACATCGATAATGTTCGTTGCGCATCCTCCTCCATCAAACCATGTTCGTTGTTCACCTCCCCAATGCACGCACACTCCTCCTGTACTCCCGCGCGCCCCACACCCTCCCCTCCCCCCTCCCCTCCCAGGCCTCCACCATGCTGCCACTTGGCAGCCTCGCAGTGGCCGTGGCTGACGTGGCAGCAGAAGCGCTGCTAACGGTGCGTGAGCCGGGCACAGGCGTGGAGTTCCCCGTGTTGCTGAGCGATGCGGGGGAGGGGGCGGGGGAGGGGGAGAAGGCGGAGAAGGAGGGGAAGAAGGGGAAGAAAGGGGGGAAGGAGGGGAAGGCGGTGGCAGGGGATCGCACGCTGGCGGGCGTTGGAGTGCGCAACAAGAACCTGCTGGGGCTGAAGAACATCAAGGTGTATGCCTATGGTGAGTGGTGAGCATGCACGAGGTAAGGGCTGAGGGGCACACACACAGCCGGGCAGCGGCGTGGAGTTCCCCGTGGTGCTGAACGATGAGGGGGGGGGAGGGGGAGGGCAAGGGGGAAGGGGGGAAGGAAAGGGGGGCGGGAAGAGGCCGAGAAGGAGGGGAAGAAAAGTGAGAAGGAGGGGTAGACGTCTGATCGCACTCTGGCGGGGGCTGGAGTGCAAAACAAGAACCTGCTGGGGCTGATGTTGGCATTGGCGCGGCGTCTGGACGCTTGACACACAATCCTGTTTTTTTTTTTACGCAGTTTTGACGCTCGGGCGGGCAGCGGGAAAAATCGTTCGGGCAGCGAGCAGCAATCTAAAGCCGTAGGAACAGGAAATAGGCATTCTAACCTTATTTTTTGTCAGAAACTTGCGAAGGGAAGAGTGACGACTTCAATTGGTGTGACTGGTCTTGGTAAACCTAGTTGGTTGGAGTTTCTAGTTGCATAGGAGTACAATGTGGTGTCGGGGATGTCTTTGTGTTTCTGTTTTGTGAGGGGTGTTCAATGTCGAATTGACATTCCAAGTCGTGATTTCGTCGCGAAATCGCAAGTCTGTTTATTTTTTTCGCGCAATTTGGGGCTGTTCGGAATTTTGTTTATTTTGACCACCCCGCCTGCTTTCCTCTCCCCGCATCCTTAGGCGTATACGTGGACGAAGCGGCACTGAAGAAGCAGCTGAGCAGCAAGTACGGGGGGATGAAGGGGGAGGCGCTCAAAGGCAGCCGGTGGCTCGTGGAGGACGCCATCACCGCTGACGTCACCATGGCCGTGCGCCTCGTCATCTTCTACAGGTGACGATTCCTGATGACGTGTCAATTGTGACGTCACTGCTGACGTCACCATGGCTGTGCGCCTTGTCATCTTCTGCGACGCCCGATGACGTGTCATTCACGACATGCCATCACTATTTATTTCTTCCATGCACCTCCTGCCATGCATCCTGCCAGGTGACGAGGTGGTGTTTCACGCGACTCAAAAGTCCCCTCCCCTTTGGTGGCAAGCACATGACAATGGAGCACGTGCAGGCAGGCCGCGTTTAACGAGCAATCAGACGACACGCCCACTCAAAACTCCCCTCCCCTCCCCGCCCCTCCCCTCCCCTCCCCTCCCCTCCTCTCCCCTCCCCTCTCATCCCCTCCCCTCCCCTCCCCTCCTCTCCCCTCCCCTCTCATCCCCTCCCCTCCCCACCCCTCCCATCCCCACCCACCCCCCTCTGCGGGCAGGCATCTGAAGATGGAGCAGGTGCGCAAGGCGTTCAACGATTCGCTGGGGGGGCGCATGAAGGAGCTCAGTGGGGGCGTGCCGCAGACGGAGCTGCTGCACAGGTGAGAAAGGATGGCTTCGAGCCGCTGCAAGCCTACTAAGAGTCTAGATCGATCCACACTACATGCCGGAGCTGCTGCACAGGTGAGCGCGGATGGCATGGCATGGCACGGCACGCACACAACATTGCGTTTTTACCATTTACTTGGTTGGTGCATGCTCGTTGGTGCTTATCATGTGCATCTGGGCTCGGCTTGTATGCTAGCGCACACAAGGGCACATGAAGAGGCTGAGTGGGGGGGTGCCGACTGACCTGCTGCACAGGTGAGTGAATGCTGGGGGCATGCATGCTGGTGCTCATTATGTGCATGGGGGCATGCATGCTGGTGCTCATTATGTGCATGGGGGCATGCATGCTGGTGCTCATTATGTGCATGGGGGCATGCATGCTGGTGCTTATTATGTGCATGGGGCATGCATGCTGGTGCTCATTATGTGCATGGGGGCATGCATGCTGGTGCTCATTATGTGCATGGGGCATGCATGCTGATGCTCATTATGTGCATGGGGCATGCATGCTGGTGCTCATTATGTGCATGGGGCATGCATGCTGGTGCTCATTATGTGCATGGGGGCATGCATGCTGGTGCTTATTATGTGCATGGGGCATGCATGCTGGTGCTCATTATGTGCATGGGGGCATGCATGCTGGTGCTTATTATGTGCATGGGGCATGCATGCTGGTGCTCATTATGTGCATGGGGCATGCATGCTGGTGCTCATTATGTGCATGGGGCATGCATGCTGGTGCTCATTATGTGCATGGGGGCATGCATGCTGGTGCTTATTATGAGCATGGGGGCTTTCCCTGTGTGTTAGAGCTCTAAAGCCCCGTGAAGGGCCTATGTGGACCGGCGTGCATGTTGGTGCTGATCATGTGTAGGAGCTGAGTGGGGGTGGGGGCTTGCAGGGCTGGACAATGATGGCATGGCAGTCTGTCTGGGCGCGGGAGCTGTCGAACGAGCCTTCAGTGCGAAATGAGCCTGGACAATGATGGCATGGCAGTCTGTCTGGGCGCGGGAGCTGTCGAACGAGCCTTCAGTGCGAAATGAGCCTGGACAATGATGGCATGGCAGTCTGTCTGGGCGCGGGAGCTGTCGAACGAGCCTTCAGTGCGAAATGAGCCTGGACAATGATGGCATGGCAGTCTGTCTGGGCGCGGGAGCTGTCGAACGAGCCTTCAGTGCGAAATGAGCCTGGACAATGATGGCATGGCAGTCTGTCTGGGCGCGGGAGCTGTCGAACGAGCCTTCAGTGCGAAATGAGCCTGGACAATGATGGCATGGCAGTCTGTCTGGGCGCGGGAGCTGTCGAACGAGCCTTCAGTGCGAAATGAGCCTGGACAATGATGGCATGGCAGTCTGTCTGGGCGCGGGAGCTGTCGAACGAGCCTTCAGTGCGAAATGAGCCTGGACAATGATGGCATGGCAGTCTGTCTGGGCGCGGGAGCTGTCGAACGAGCCTTCAGTGCGAAATGAGCCTGGACAATGATGGCATGGCAGTCTGTCTGGGCGCGGGAGCTGTCGAACGAGCCTTCAGTGCGAAATGAGCCTGGACAATGATGGCATGGCAGTCTGTCTGGGTGCGCGGATGGGCATGCGGCTTGCATGCAGTGCTAGACCGCGTTTGGTCTCCGGGTAGGAACACACGTGACCGCGTCTGCTACAAAGTTTATTGCAGAGGTTCCTTTTGAGGCGCGGTGGAAATATCTGGCAGAGAATCCTCACCACGAGGCCAGGCCAAGACCTTTTTTCGAATCCAATTCTAAAGCACATTAGGCTGCCTGCCAGGAGCTGACATGACTGCTACAAACATCTCCACGGGAGAGGGATGAGTGTGATGCTGGAGCGGTGCTTGCTGCTAGACTCCTTTCCCCCCTTCCTCTTCCCCCCTCCCCCTTCCCCCCTCCCCCAAACACCACTCACCCCACCTCATCCCACCCCACCCCACCCCAACCCGCCCTCCCCAGTTTCACCAAGTGGTTCACAAATGACATCAAGCTGCATCGGGGCACGGTCATTGACATCACTCGCCGCCCAGGCCATGTGCTAGAGACAAAGAGTGAGTCTGCTAGGTCTAAGAGATGCCGCCCAGGCCATGTGCTAGAGACAAAGGGTGAGTCCGCTTGGGCTGGAGGCAAAACGTGAGTCTGGTTGGGCTAGAGGCAAAAAACCAGTCTGGAAGAGAGACAGCGAGCAACTCTTGTAGTGCCAAGGGATGCCGCACAGGCCACACGATAGCGACATACGAGTGAACACGCCGGCACAAGGGGAAGGTTGCAGGACGGAGTCGCCATGCCGGCAGAGTTTTTTTAGAATTCTCAAAAAACACCAGCAGTATTCCCCCCATGAGGCATCGTTCTTGCCATGAGCCATCACTTTCCTTGTTGACGGAGCAGCACTGGACAAGCATAAATGTGGAGCAAGAAACCAACCTCAAGTCTCACTGGTTTGTGCTAACCACACACTGCAGCACTTCTCACGTTCACCCTTTCCTTGCCGCTTTGCTCCGATCGACAATTCGCCTGTACAGGATTTTGCTGCTACTGCACTTGTACCTAATTCCCATTCACTTCCATTCCCCCCTCTCATTCCCTCTCATTCTCTACCAGTCTCTCATCCTCTCTCTGCAACTCTCCCACTCCCTCTCCCACCCCCACCCCCCCATGCAACATCCTCCCTTGCACCAGTTGACGGCAAGTACATGGGATCCACTAAGAGCGCGCTTATATCGCGGGCGCTCTTTGAGCTCTATGTGGGGGACAAGCCATTCGACAAGAAGGCGCGCGAGGGGCTGGTGGACAAACTCATTTCCGTCGTGCACTCGTAGACAACTCCTGGAGCACCCGTGAAACACTTCTGTGCTAGAGCACTCCTAGGAGCCACCACTTGGCGTCGTCAGGGCTCAGCTGAGCAGCATTGTTGCGAGCTCCAGCAACTAATGCAGTACCGTACACATCAAAGGTTACGGTATTTTATATTTAATAAGGGACCCTAGAAAGGGCTTTAGGCCCCGTTGGAGGTCCGACGACTAAGGTTGGTTGATTGGGGAATGTGTGGTGTGGGGCAGAGATACCGGTGGTAACCCATTAGTTTCAGCGCTCTCATACACCCATGTCTTTCAGTGTACGGTACCTGCACCTACTGTCTGCGTTTCAGCAAATCCACACCCTGGAGCACTCAGCGATCGTGCGATACTGGTAGCTACTGCCTCTGGTACTCAGCTCTTGATCTAGGTCGGCGCAGCAAACAGGTCGTTCGCCAATAAATGACGGGCTGAACTTTCGAGTTGATAGGTGAAAGACCGGTCTTTTTTCTCTCACAAAGTGGGATACTGTAAGTTGGGTTCTCTCTCAGAGACTGGAATCCTGTAAGTTGAGGAATGAAATAGAGATGGGACGATTCTGCGTTCAGTCAACATGTCACTGGACTTAGTGCATTATCCACGCACTCTTTGATTACAACTCATAACAAACTAGGTATACACCGTAACGTATTCACGATATCTTTCGCAGCTTCTGGCTGCTTCGGAGCAGCGGCACCTGCGCTGAAGACGACAACAGGCAGGCACCTCCAGCGGAGCCTGTGCAGAGCACACGACACGCTCAAATGCTCCAATGAAATTGGAGCCATCGTTGCCTGAAATTATCAAGCTTGAATGCTGGTCCAATCTCCGTGCTCTGCGCGGCGACGATGACGGTTTGGATTTGACACGCTGTTCATGCAAGGCTGCCCGACTGACCCCTAAAGTTTCCCGACTTGTCTGTGTATCTTGTGTTCAGACTGGACACCTCTTCTAGTGTTCATATTCACCCAGTTTTGCAAAGCAGATCGACGTCAACCCTGGGCAGGTGAGACTCTATGAAACACCTGAAGCTTTTCCCACCCCTACAGTACGCCTGGCAGTTCTACAGTACCCTCCTCAACCTCGGCACACCCACCAGGTACCCCGCCAAGTGCGTCCACCTGAAGCAGGGCATTCAAATCTGCTGACAGCGCATTCTCAACTCAAATGTTTCCCGCAGCGCGCAAATATTGGAAGCAGAGCATTCAAGTCCATGCCTCACGGAACCAAGGCATTTTGCAGCGTTTTGTTAGAAAGCGGCACCGTACTGAACGGCTTCATAACCACTCGCGTTGTTGAGAAACCCATTCCTGCCAAGCATTAACACCGCTCGGCTGCTCATTTCTGTAATTGAGCATTCATTCTGTATTTTCACCTCACAAGCAAAATCTATCAATTCACCAGCTAGTTGTTCACTCCGCAATGGGGCTCCAACATTACCATGGCGTGACGATAGTTTTCCTAGTCATCGCCGCATGTTTCAGCGGTGAGTGTCGCGGCATTTGTACCTGCGGTTGTAAAATCTCTGAAAGCCACTTCCGCAGGAAATTCATCCCTTGAATCTCATTTGGTCCTCTGAACTCTTATCTTTCACAAGCTTACTCATTCCATACGTGACGCTGTCTTCCACGTGCGCAGCCACAAACTCGGCGCCCGCCCCTCCCGACGAGGCGGCCCTTCAAGACGCGCTCGCGTCCTTAAAGAACTCGTTGGTCGTCGTGAACATGAATAAACCCACTGGCGCGGGTCCCTGCCCGTTGCCCAAGACCGAAAAAGCTCAAGCTCTTGGAAATCTGACGGGTGAGAGGCTTTTGCGAATCTCGCCTGGAAGTTACCCTGGGGCCAGTTTAAGAAACATTATGTGGGGATGAATTTAAGGGATAAACTTTAAAATTGCTGGCATTAGCCCTCAAATAGCTTCATCATACAGTCACACACCCAGGCCGCATGTCTTCCCGTTCTTCAAGAAGCAACTTCGCTCCTCAGAATATCCGTCCTTTGTTTGCCCTCCTTCCCACTTTCATTCTTTCCACACTTTTCCAACCACCTCTGCTCTCTCCCCCATGTTCCACCGCTCCCCCCTCCGCGCAGAGATTCTCGCTGCGCGATTGAACGGATCCAGAGTTGTTGGGTCCATGGGCGACGCCGGCGCCAGCGGTCGAATCTGCCTAGCCATCTATGAGTAAGCCGCTGCGCCGGCCAGCAAGAATAGTTGACCCAATCACAGCTCGTCTTCCTCACGAACCCCGCCGGCCAGTTGGTTTTAAGCCTCAGCTCGTCTGTTCCAGTCGGTGTTTTCATCTCTCTTAGCGATCAGTGATGTTTTCGCTTCTCTGTTCAGAGCGAGCGACTCTTTCATCTCTGAGCGATGCTTTCATCTCTGAGCGAGGCTTTCATCACCTTGAGCGATGCTTTCATCTCCGAGCGACTCTTTAATCTCTGAGCGGTGTTTTCGTCTCTCAGCGATGCTTTCATCTCCCAGAAGTGATGCTTTGATCTCCCTCACTGATGCTTTCATCTCCCTCCCAATGCGAACCCCGTCATTCTTTCTTCTTCCGGTCCCTTGTGGCGAACGTTGACTGAATCCGTCAGGCTAGACGGAGACTACAACGTCTTCTACCATGTCATCGTCTCCACCTCCAAACCGGGTGTACCGATCTCCACCTTCATCGGGCAAGGCGCGGGAGGAAAGGCGGGAACCACCGTTCTCGAGATTGCCAGAGCCAGAGCCACGTGGAAAAATAAAACTGTTCCGCGGCCTTCCCCTCTAACGAAGGACCCGAAATACAAGTTCATACCTACATACACCTATGCCTTGACGGGGACGTGGCTTAAAACGAGTACGCTGTCAACATTGCCGAATGGCAAGACTGTTAAGGAGCTGGTGGATGCCATGATGACAGCAAAGGGGTACTATGGGGGATTCGCAACGGCGGCTTTTAAGGCGGGAGCAGCGAGAGGGCAGTTCAAGAAAGACCCCCTCCCACCAGCACCTGCGGGGAAAGAGGGAGACAAGAATGAGACACTCGTCCTAGTTGGTAATAACTCTTTTGCTCTTCCACAGTTTCTGCAGCACTATATTCGAGTCCGTTGATCTCTTGCTCATTGATTTTGTCTCTTCCAGCTTCGCTCAAGCCCCTCACATTCTCTCACCATCTCTCCCTCACCCTCACCTTTGAATTTCACTCACATAATTGTTCAGGGGTGGTGGGGACTAAACTTGGGGACGAGAATGTTCACTCCAAGTCTGCTGGTGACATGTACGGTGCAGGCTGCGTTACTATCGCTGCCTTCCTGTAAGCCTCTCCTCCATTCCCTCCTCCCCTCTCTTCCCCTCTCGCACTCTCACTGTTCCCACTTTGCTTCCCTCTCTCTCTCTCTCTCTCTCTCTCTCTCTCTCTCTCTCTCTCTCTCTCTCTCTCTCTCTCTCTCTCTCTCTCTCTCTCTCTCTCTCTTACCCTCTGCTCCCTTCTCCCCTCCATTCTGCCTTCACCCTCACACATTTCCCTCCCTTCTCCTTCAATATCTCACACGCCCCTCCTTTCTCCCCTCACTCTGACATTCTCCCCTCCTTTTCTCACCCTGCTCCCTCACCCTCCCTTCCCTTATCCCCTCACTTCCCCCTTCTCTCGCTTACAATCCCTCTGGTCTCCCCCCATCCTCTCATACTCCTGACCCTCCTCCTCCCCTCCCCTCTTCGGCCCACTCTCTCACCCTTTCCTCCTTCCCTCGTTCTCACACCCTCCTCCTCCCCTAATTCTCTCCCCATCTCATCCTCCTCGCACCCATTCCTTCTTCCCCGCTCTTCTCACCCTTCCCCTTTCCCATTTGGATTTGCAACCTGTCTCCCTCCATACGCGCCTGCCCGTCCTCCCCCCACTGTCCCCCTCCTTGCCCGTCCTTGTCTCCCCTTCCCCCTCATTGCCAACCAACCACCCCTCTCAGCAACACCACCACTAACGACTATTACATTCGCTACCGCATTGGCGTGAATACAAGCGACCCGGATGGGCCCACCGAGGTACTCTTAGCCCAGGGCTATTACGTGCCATTCATGCTGGTCAACAGGGGTGACACATGGACCAAACACACAGTCCCGGATGCTAATGTAACTGGCGGGTACATGTACGAATTCACCGGCAGTATTCCTGGGACGTACAAGGCATTGATGAATGGACTGCTGGCTGCACCACAAGATTTCTCTGCTGTTCTCATCACCAACTATTTTGACCTTGGTGCGCTGAGGGGTTGGTTTGTCAATAGTACTCTGGCGGGAGAGAATGGGTGCGCCATTGTCTAGGGGGGTAAAAAGCAACAACCAGAGCACTGAGACATGATGCATGTCAAATGTAGAAGCTGGTTGGTGTCGTTGTTTGAAGGTATAGTGCGTTGAGAAGGGGCCAGTGTGACCAAGGCTGTGTGTGTATGTCTGTATCACTGTTAATATAATTTTGTACAGTACGTATATTAATTCCAGTGTGCCTACTGTTTCATTTTTCTCCATCCCATCATACATCTGGCGAAGGCAACAGCATGACAAATTGACAATGCTGCCACCGAATGAGCCACACCCCACTAGCCACATCCCACTAGCCACACCCCACTAGCCACACCCCACTAGCCACCTATCTCTTCCAACCAGCAACGCACTTCCAGACGCTCCAACAATTGTCCCCGCTCACTGAATAGCCATCGTCAAATAAATGTTCCAATCGATTGTGCAAGTCCGAAGTCACAAAGCCATCCTGCCCCACTCGCTCGCCTCATAGCTCGCCACTCGCTCCCGCAACCCCCCTTCCTTGGCTGCTACCCAGGGACGTCGCTAGGATCTGAGGCAGCCTGATGGAGCAGACGGGCCCTTCGGGCCCGTCTGCTTCATCAGTGGGCTGAGTGATGCCCTGTCTGGTGGATCAGGATTTTCCAAAATCTCTGTCTGATCTGTCAGATCTTAAAGCACTGGCTTGTCTGATTTTTATTTTTTTTGGGTTGCATTGCATCAACTCTAGCAGAAGTTAAAGCTAAATACTACGGTAAAAGAACTATCAAATAAAAAATTATGTAACTACTGGTGAGGTGTTATTACACTACAAATTACATCTACTCTAGTCTAGTCTACTCAGTGTCAGACTCTACTATCGTGGCGCGGACATCAAGCCCATTGTCATCATCACTGTCGTCCGACACTGCTACAGCTGCACGTGGTTTGCCCTTCTTAGAGGTCCTCCGCCTGACCACGTCCTCCTCATCATCTTCGTCTCCATTGGAGGCAGCAGCTGACGTTCCTCTCTCGGCCTTCCGCTTTGGGGCTCTCTCTGGAGTGTTCTTGGTCGTCACTTCCTTAGCAGGGCGCCTCTTCTTTGCCCCCCTCCAAGCAGCCACCACGTCCTCCCAGTTCGGCTCGTACTGCAGGAGCGATACCGACATCAGGTCCGCCAGGCGTGTGTTGCACAGATTCCCGCGGAGCCACGATTTGATGATGTTTTGCCTCGAGAAGCCGCGCTCGCACTCGACGGTGCTCAGCGGCAGCACGGCGAGGGCGATCCAGATGCGGACCATGTTGGGGTAGCTCGTCTCCCAGTCGTCGCTGCGCAACATGTGCTTGAGGCCGGCGTGGAAGGTCTGGTCCTTGTACTGCGAGGCCATCATCTTGGTAAACGGCACCAGTTCTCGTCCCGCCTTTTTCCAGCTCACTCCTGCTCACGCACAATTGCAAATACAAGAGGGGCGGGGGCCAACGGGGAGATAAGTCAGTGGCGGTACCATATCACCAAGCGTGTAACATTGACGCACAACAGAGACGCACAGATTACCTGGAAGTACGCACTTCTCCGCACTGAACAGCGTGCGGAGAGACTGGAACCAGGCTTGGCAGAGGCGGTCTCTCTTCGCGCTTCCCTCGGGGTACGCGTCAGGCAGGAAAAGCTTCGCTCCGGTGAGGGTGTCTAGGCTCTCCATCCGCTTCAGGAGGTGCTTCACAATTTCCTGCGCAAACAGGCGGGTTACAGTGATGCATGATTCTATGTCGCCTTTTGACTTCTGTCCCTTGATGGCGTCCTCGTGCAGCATGAAAGTGTGTTTAACGGGACTTCCCTCCCCATCCATGCCTTCGACCGTCACCTCCCGCTTGTCCAACGCTCCGTGCTTCTCCATGAACTCGGTGAGCAACTCGCTATCCTCAGCGTAGTTGACGCCGTGCTCGATGTATCGCTGCTTCAGCTTGTCGCACGTGTTGTGGACCATTGATGCCACCCGGGTGATGTCCACCTGCACACGGCAAGAAGCCAACGTCAGACACGTTCGAGTGCATGAACATCAGCACGGACCTCTCTACTGCTCACCATGCGCCGTTGAAACTTGAGGTTCAGCTCGTTGAGCAGTTTCAGCACATCTGCCAGGAAAAACAGGAAGAAGTGGAACTTGAAACTCGAGACTGTCTTGTAGGCCTTCTTGTCTTGCTCCCACAACACCACTATCGCCGCCGGTAGGACTTCCACGAGCCTCCGAATCGCATCGCCACGCGCCAGCCATCGAACGTCTTTAAAACCCTGCACCTCCAGAGACGTCTCGTGCAGGATGTGTTGTAGCTCCATGAACCGGGAGTGCAAGACGATGCTCCTCCCCAAGTTCTCTGCGATGCTCCGCACGACCGTGTCGACCATGCTGAGGTCGGGCACCGCCTCCGCCGCGTCCTTCGCGGCGAGAGCCTCCCTGCAAGTGTGCAAAAAGAAGCGGTTAGAACACTGAAAAACGTTTGACAACAAGATCATACACCACCGCCAGAGAGATTTTGTCATCGCACCTGTGAGCGATGCAGTGGCACGTCACCAGGTGTGGGACTCGCAGTTTCAGCTGGGTCGCCACTCCAGCCTGTGAACCCCGCATCACGCTCGCGCCATCCGTACTGATGCCCGTCAGTTTCATGATGTCGACGCCCGTCACGGCCAAATGGGCGAGAAGTACTGTCAGCAGAGACGACGCGTCGCACTTCTCGACTGTCAGGTGCCCAAACAGCTCGGTGACGACCTCGGCGTCGCGAATGAAGCTAAGATAGACTATCATGTGCTTGCCTCTGCGCCGGTCGGTACTCTCGTCGAGTTGAATTCCTAAGAACGGAGACGCCTGGATGTGGCGCATCTGCTGCTGCCTCAGGTTGGTGACGATCGCTTCGGTAATTTCACGGAAGCCGTACCTGCACAACACAGTGAAGGTGGTATTAGTCGTAGTGACAATAAAAACACAAACCAAGAAAGAATTTCACTCACGCTGACTGGTATGTCCCTATGGACTTGTCCGGGATGTGCGGCGTCTGAAGCTCACCCAACAGGCGAACAAGATCAATAAACAGGGAGATGGGGGAATCGGATTTGCAGATAAATAGCACGACCAGCATCAGTTGTTTCAACCGAGAAGTCTCGTTGTCGTCGTTTTCGAACTGCTCAATGCCCCTCTGTGCAACCTTACCGCCTTCGGCGCGAAGCTTGGCTTTGACTGCGTCTTGATGCTTGAGGCTGAGCGCGTGCTTCCGCATTGTTTGCCGCTGGATATCAACGCCACCTTCGCCGTATTTACCAAACTTCCAGTGGGCTGGACCGTGAGCCATGCATATACTGCACTTCATGCACGGCGTCCCGTCCTTCCTCTGCGTGATAATCAGCCACTTGAATTTGTCGCGCCAAAATTCCTTGGACAGCTCGTGGAGCTTCTCCATAAGCGCGTCTGGATCAGGGACGTGGATGGTGCTCCTGGAAGGCCCAGGATCACCTGTGGGATGAGCTGCTGGTGCTGTTGATGCAGCAGCAGCCTCAACTCTAGGCTCTGGCGTGGGTCCTGACACGATGCGGACGTGAGGAACCCCCGTCTTTGCAATACGCAGCGTGCTCTGGGTATATCGGCCTGCCTTTGAGAATCGTCCCACGGCAGTACCACGTGAAGTGCTAGGCGCCGCTTGCGATCTAGGATTAGCTCTAATCCGTGCAGAGGTACTAGGGGAGACAGGCGGTGTGCTACTGAAAGCCCGTCTAGCATTAACAGCAGGCCAGTCTACAGGAGCGACATCCTGCCGATTCGGGGAAGAAGACGGTGGTACGCGTGTCGGCGAAGAGGCGCCTAACACGGCGGCTGGCTGGGAACGGCGTAGGAAATCGAGGCCCGTGACAGGTGGTTTGGGCCGTGGGGTGGGTGATTCGGCAGTTTCCGTGTCGTCCGCCATGGCGAGAGGGCGGACTTACGTGACTAAGGCGATAACCGTCTGCAATCGCTGTGAAAATGGCTAGGTAGGGCGTTTGCAAGAGGAGGCTGGAGAAGAAGGACCCCCCCGAAACCCCAACGCCCGACCACAGAGCCCTGTTGACGAACCGCGCATGGCTCCCGAAAACTGTGGGTGGCACCACTTGACTGTGGTGAACCCAAACCGCGCTTCCCGAACCTTCGGCAGGCGCCGAAATTGTGGGTTTGTGGTGCTGGATTGATGACTGTTGTACTAAACTAGCCAATCCCACACTTGTGGCAGGCCACGTACGATAGAAACACGTGGGAACACGGGGGGCGGCGTGCATGATGCATACACTCCGGTAATCACGGCAAAACACCCACACCACGCCTTGCTCACGCGTGAATCACGCCTAAGGGTAGAAAGATTCGGTAACAGACTAAACCCGAAAGTACTCCTGATGTATCAGAGGAACATGGAAAACGTTTCTGATGGGTCTGATATAGCAAAAAAGCATTTCTGAATGAACAGATTTCACTAAGTCCTGATTTCTGAATTATCAGATTAAATCAAAAAGTTACCCTCCAATATAGGACAAACAGACAAAAAATTTCTGCTAGCGACGTCCCTGCTGCTACCCGCTGCTCCATCTTGCCCCTCTTTGCTCCCCTCCTTCCCCACCAGTCTCTTCCACAAACCCCTTGCTAGTAGCAAGTGCTAAGGTGTTGCAGTGGGATCGGCTCGCTTGGCGATGGTGATGCGCCCGCCAGCCATAACAATCATCGCCCTCCACTGCTCCATCTTGCCCCTCTTTTCTCTCCTCCTTCCCTACAAGTCTCTCCCACAAACCCCTTGCTAGTGGCAACTGGCTAAGGAGGAGCAGCAGGGTCAGCTCGCTTGGCAATGGTGATGCGGCTGCCAGCCATCGCAATCATGGCCTTGAGCTGCTCCATCTTGCCCCGCTCGCTCTCTTCTCTACCTGTTTCTCTCTAAGGAGGAGCAGCAGGGTCAGCTCGCTTGGCAATGGTGATGCGGCTGCCAGCCATGGCAATCATGGCCTTGAGCTGCTCCATCTTGCCCCGCTCGCACTCTTCTCTACCTGTTTCTCTCTAAGGAGGAGCAGCAGGGTCTGCCCTCTTGGCAATGGTGATGCGCCCGCCAGCCATGGCAATCATGGCCTTCAGCTGCTCCATCTTGCCCCGCTCGCTCGCCTCATAGCTCGCCACTCTCTCCCTCAACCCGCCTTCCTTGGCCGCTGCCCGCTGCTCCCTGCGCGCCTTCTCCCGGGCCAGCCTGGTTTGGGGAGCAAGGGGGTGCAGAAAGGTGGATAAGACAAGGACTAGAATTAGGGGCAAGGACAAGCGCGAATGGATATCATGGCGCAACACGTTTCCCTTTTCCACGCATCACCTCACACTCTTTGCTCTTTCCGCTACACATCACCTCACACTCTTTGCTCTTTCCGCTACACATCACCTCACACTCTTTGCTCTTTCCGCTACACATCACCTCACACTCTTTGCTCTTTCCGCTACACATCACCTCACACTCTTTGCTCTTTCCGCTACACATCACCTCACACTCTTTGCTCTTTCCGCTACACATCACCTCACACTCTTTGCTCTTTCCGCTACACATCACCTCACACTCTTTGCTCTTTCCGCTACACATCACCTCACACTCTTTGCTCTTTCCGCTACACATCACCTCACACTCTTTGCTCTTTCCGCTACACATCACCTCACACTCTTTGCTCTTTCCGCTACACATCACCTCACACTCTTTGCTCTTTCCGCTACACATCACCTCACACTCTTTGCTCTTTCCGCTACACATCACCTCACACTCTTTGCTCTTTCCGCTACACATCACCTCACACTCTTTGCTCTTTCCGCTACACATCACCTCACACTCTTTGCTCTTTCCGCTACACATCACCTCACACTCTTTGCTCTTTCCGCTACACATCACCTCACACTCTTTGCTCTTTCCGCTACACATCACCTCACACTCTTTGCTCTTTCCGCTACACATCACCTCACACTCTTTGCTCTTTCCGCTACACATCACCTCACACTCTTTGCTCTTTCCGCTACACATCACCTCACACTCTTTGCTCTTTCCGCTACACATCACCTCACACTCTTTGCTCTTTCCGCTACACATCACCTCACACTCTTTGCTCTTTCCGCTACACATCACCTCACACTCTTTGCTCTTTCCGCTACACATCACCTCACACTCTTTGCTCTTTCCGCTACACATCACCTCACACTCTTTGCTCTTTCCGCTACACATCACCTCACACTCTTTGCTCTTTCCGCTACACATCACCTCACACTCTTTGCTCTTTCCGCTACACATCACCTCACACTCTTTGCTCTTTCCGCTACACATCACCTCACACTCTTTGCTCTTTCCGCTACACATCACCTCACACTCTTTGCTCTTTCCGCTACACATCACCTCACACTCTTTGCTCTTTCCGCTACACATCACCTCACACTCTTTGCTCTTTCCGCTACACATCACCTCACACTCTTTGCTCTTTCCGCTACACATCACCTCACACTCTTTGCTCTTTCCGCTACACATCACCTCACACTCTTTGCTCTTTCCGCTACACATCACCTCACACTCTTTGCTCTTTCCGCTACACATCACCTCACACTCTTTGCTCTTTCCGCTACACATCACCTCACACTCTTTGCTCTTTCCGCTACACATCACCTCACACTCTTTGCTCTTTCCGCTACACATCACCTCACACTCTTTGCTCTTTCCGCTACACATCACCTCACACTCTTTGCTCTTTCCGCTACACATCACCTCACACTCTTTGCTCTTTCCGCTACACATCACCTCACACTCTTTGCTCTTTCCGCTACACATCACCTCACACTCTTTGCTCTTTCCGCTACACATCACCTCACACTCTTTGCTCTTTCCGCTACACATCACCTCACACTCTTTGCTCTTTCCGCTACACATCACCTCACACTCTTTGCTCTTTCCGCTACACATCACCTCACACTCTTTGCTCTTTCCGCTACACATCACCTCACACTCTTTGCTCTTTCCGCTACACATCACCTCACACTCTTTGCTCTTTCCGCTACACATCACCTCACACTCTTTGCTCTTTCCGCTACACATCACCTCGCGTGCCGACTGAGTGACACAAACGACAATCACCTAGCTTGGGGATCCACTCCCCCCTCCCCCAGCACATCCCCCTCGCTCATCCCCAAGTCACGCCTCTGCCCCCTCGCTCGCGCACTCTCCCTCTCCCACTTCTTCACCATCCTCTCTGCTGCTCACCTGGCTTGGAAGTCACCCCCTTCCCCCAGCACTTCCCCCTCGCTCATCCCCAAGTCAAAGCTCTGCTCCCTCTCTCTCTCTCGCACTCTCCCTCTGCTGCCACAGGAAACTAAAGATTCGACCCAGATCCAGCAGAGTACATTGATGGTACTTTTGGGAATTCTCAAAAGTACCATCAACGGAGATTCGACCCAGATCCAGCAGACCACCAGGCGCGTCCTATTATCCACTATTTGCTATTTCGTAGGTGCCTAGGCTAGGTAGGGATCAGGCAGACAAGGAAGCATCATTCCCTTCATCTCTAGCCTCCCCCCTCACCTGGCTTGGAAGTCATCCCCCCCGCCCATAACATCCTTCTACTTCATCCCCATCTCATGGCTCTGCTCCCTCTCTCTCGCACTCTCCCTCACCTACTTCCTCCCCTCTCATATAAAAGATTAACCCCTTGCCCATCACATGTGCTTCCCTCACCTGGCTTGGAAGTCATCCCCCCCGCCCATAACATCCTTCTCCCTCATCCCCATCTCAGGACTCTGCTCCCTCTCCCTCGCACTCTCTCTGCGTCGCGCCATTCTTTCAGCAATCACCGCCTCGCGCCCCGTCTCCCTCGGAACCACCTCCTCAAGTCGCATCGCCTGCCGCTCCCTCTCCCGCTTCCTCTCCATCCTCTCCCTCGCTTTCCTCTCCGCCCTGCTCTCCTCCTCATCCTCCCCTTCCAACCCTCCTCGCCCTCCTCTCCCCCCACTAGCTCCCCCAGCGCCCCAGGGAACCATTCCACACACCCCCACTCCCCCCGCCCCCCCTGACCCCCCAGCTCCCCCCACTCCCCCCGCGCCTGCTCCCCCCGCCCCCCCCGCTCCCCCTGCTCCCCCTGCCCGTCCTCCAAGCCTCCAGTCGTGGTTGGAGCGAGGAACAGCAGCAGCAGTGATTGAGCCGTCATAGTAGTTGGGGGGGAGCTTCCCGGCGTTCCACGTGCGCACAAAGAGGGAGAAGAGGTCGTGGGTCTGCTCTGAGGTGAGCGAGGAGAAGAAGAGGCGCTTGGCTTGCACCAGCCACGTGGAGAACTCGGGGTTGCGTGCGAAATAGTCTGTGTCGGAGATTTGGAGCACCTGGAGGAGAAGGGAAGAGGACAGAGAGTGGAAGAAGAGAGGGGAAGAGGACAGAGAGGGGAAGAGGACAGAGAGGGGAAGAGGACAGAGAGGGACAGAAGTGGACAGAAGGGGTGCGGGAACGAGGGAAAGAGGGTGTGAGGGCTGTTTTGAGGAGAAGAAGAGGCGTCTGGAGTAGTGCAGCTCGGTGGAAACTCGGGGTTGTTTTGTGGGTGAAGTAGTCTGCATTGGAGATCTGAGGCACCTGGAGGAGGAAAAGAGAAGTAATCGACGGGGACACGGGACGACAGAAGGGGTGTGGGATGACGGGAAAGAGGTGGACAGAGGGGGCCAGAGGGGGGCAAAGGGGGCAGAGGGGGCAGAGGGGGCAGAGGGGGGCAGAGGGGGGCAAAGGGGGCAGAGGGGGCAGAGGGGGGCAGAGGGGGGCAGAGGGGGGCAGAGGGGGGCAGAGGGGGGCAGAGAAGAGTGAAGACAGGTGCGAGAGGGGAGTGTGCAGTGTGAGGTGGAGTGGAGAGAGGGGTGAGCAGGGACGAGGGGGGTAGGTGGAGTATAGCGAGCAGAGTCGAGGAGGAAACCAGGGTGCACATTCAATTGGATTTCTGTCAAAGGTTAACATTTGACCTCGGGGTTACTCAGTGATTTAGGAATATCGTGGGGGGAGTGTTCGCCTGAGCAGGTGAACATTTGAACCCTCGAGATTTGGCAAATGTATACCAAAGTCATCGAATGTGCTTCTGCCAATTCGTTTCCCCCCTCCCCATACCTATTCCGCTCCCTCCGGAATTGTTTCCCCTTCCCCCACAATATCGTCTCACCCCCTTTCCCTTTTCCGCCACCCCAGTTGCCCTCCCCTTGATCCCCAATTTCTAGATTCAAGTGTTATCAGATTCTCCCCTGCCGAGCCTCATCTCTAACGGGCGAAAAGCCCCACGCTCGCCCATTCTCAGCTATTTATTCGCTACTCGTCAACCAATCAGCAGTTCCCCCAAACATGCCGCCCAAAATTTAGCCTGGAGTCGCGTTGAACGTGCACCCTGGTTTTAATAGGGGCGCGGAAGAAAGATGCAACGAGCTCAATTGATGCGTACCTCTGGGTTGGGTGCACGCCTCGAAATTGGGTGTACGAATCTCGGGATACGAACCTCGGGATTGGGTGTACGAACCTCGGGATTGGGTGTGAGGTCCTCCTCTTCCTCCTCCGCTACCCCTGCCTTGGTTCTTGTGCCTGCCTCCTCACCACCTTTCTCCTTTCCCTTCCGCTTGTGCTCTGAACCACGCAGTACGCCCCTTGCCATACATCCCTTGCCATGCACCCCATGCCATACACCCCATGCCATACACCCCATGCCATACACCCCCCATGCCATACACCCCATGTTATGCACCCCATGCCATGCACCCCATGCCATGCACCCCATGCCATAAGCAGCAGCAAACAGGCACACGGACGGGACAGCACAGCTTCAGCGGAACCGTTTATGCGTGTTGTAAAGCGATTACTCCAGGAAGGAACTGAAGTACCCGCTGAATCTCACGACAAAAAAAAGAAAAAAGAAAGAAAAAGACTCTTTAATCCTAAATCCACCGACCTCCCTACCAGCTTTTTCGCCTCCTCCTCACTCACCTTTAAGAAGCTTCTTTGCCTCCTTGAGAAGCTTCTTCTTCTTCCGCCTCTCCTTGCGCTTTTTCCTCCTCCTCCGCTCGTCCTCGCTGCTGCTGACGTCACTCTCACTCTCCGACGAAGAAGCTGACGTGGCATCATCATCATCGTCATCTGAAGACAAGCTGCTGCTCCGCTCTCTCCGCTTTGACTTCTTCCGTTTCCTCCTTTCCTCTTTCTTCCCCCTTCCCTCCCCCTTACCCTCTCGTTGCCCCCTCTTCTCCTCTCGCTCCTCCCGCTCTCCCTCCGCCTCGTCTCGCCTCCTCGAATCTCTCTTCTCCGTTTGTCTCCCCTCTCGTTCCTCCGAATCGTCCTTGTCTTCCCGCCCTTCCTTTCTCCTACGCCCTTCACCCTTCGACTCCTTCAATACGTCTTTATCCTTTGACGACCTCGTGTCACCATCGCGCCTCCGCCGCTTCTCGTGCCTCCGCCTGGCGCGCTCCTCGCTTTCGCTATCTGTGGCAAGTACGGGCAGAACATAAACGAATTCGGCGAAACCAATCATGGAAAAGCACGTTGACTCACGAAAGCGTGGCGAAGATCGAAGGACAGCGAGATGCGAGTGAAATCTACGCGCGTATTAACAAAACGGTCAACGAAAGCGGTCAATGAACTCATATATTGACGCGACGCGCGCTTCAAGAAACTCGCAGCGCGCCACAACTCGCAGCACATCGCACCTTCGCTGGAGTCGACTGCAGAGTCACGTCGCACGCGCTTATCCTTTTCTCTCGCCATGCTCCCAGGTAACTATCGACTGACGAAGCTGTGGAGATTGGCAGGGAAATTCTAGGCTGACCTGGGTTCAAGTAGGGTGTATTTCCTGAGTAGTTTTTGGTATGAATGGATAAATGTTTTGGAAGCTAGGTGTATCTGAAACAGTTTTTTGAGAATAACGAGATTGCTCTTACCCTAGTTTTCCAGCTCGTCCACGTCACCACCTGCAGGTTCCACGGCACTGTCTCGCAAGAATTCGTTCAGGCTCTCGTGAAGAGAATCACCCCCCTGTAACCGCATTGGGCGAGGAATTCATTTTCGTTGCCTCGCGTCGCCACCGACACAAACCTGGCCGGACGGGATGTGCAACAAGAAAAACGCCGACCAGCCGAGAAAAGCCAAACGCAACAAAAAAGAGACCAGAATCATCGCAACAACGATGGTGGCCGCTATGCCACGAATGTCTGTTTGCCACGCAACGAAGATAGGGGACCACCAGCTGCCGCTGCTGTTGCAGCTGCAACGTCGTCCGATTCTGTCGGTATAACCTGGGCCCGGGCGATTCTTGAAACGTCAAGCATGATACGACTTGCAGAATCATCAGCCTCGCCTCGACGTCTCGCTCACCGGCAACACAAGCTTCCGTGCTTCCTTCTTCCAGTTAGCTTGGATTTCGCGTAGGCAGTAACACGGCACATCTGTTCTCTGGTCTGCGGTTTCATTCACAGACGTTGTTCGTATCAGAAGCAACATGAATACCATAAGTAACACATGTTCGTAATGCTCAGAAGCTTGACCGTTAAATCCGCACGGAGCAGCTAATTTCGCGGTTCCATGGCGAACACCACGTGGCAGAAGGCGGTGCTGATCTTCGTCCTGACTCTGACGCTTCAGTTGCGAGCCGGCCGGGCGTGGTTCCAACCCACCCCGGGTACCACCTTCTACTGGCAGCTCTCCAACTCTAACCCTAACGTCGACGGTGCGTGACGTTGTAACGCGGACATGGTGTACTTCAGATCACGCCGAACGAATGAGAGGGTACAACAGGGTAACGTTTTTTTGTTGAAAACGAGTCTGCGTCGTTTTGGGGCTTGTGGTTTCAGGTAGTCGCTCTGAAAACCCTAAACGGCGCGACCCTGACTTAGCATGATGCGCGCTTCCTCCTCGCTACATAAACGGGCAATGTAAACCTCCCCCCCCCGCATCCCCTTTCTCCGCTTTCTGTGATCCAAGTGTGTGCCACGCTGCACGGATGAGCACAGCGTTACCCTACATGTCCGTTCCCCGCCCCAACCCCTCCTCCCCACCTCTTCCACCCGCCTTTCCCCTCTTTCCTCCTCTCTACCACACGTTTCCTGCCTCGTCCTCCTTCCTTGTTCATTCCACTAAGCCTCTTAACCCGCTGAACCCCCCCCCCAAGGATCAATCGACACAAGCTACCTGGCAGAGAGGTGTTTGGCATGTCTTTTGAACCGAGCCAGATTGCAAGCCACCTTGCTGAATCCCCCAACACCCCCCTCCCCCCCCCGCTCCCCCAGGCTCCAATGACACCACGGACCCCGCGGAGGTGTATGACGTGGACGGGTTCAGTCACAGTCTGCCGGCCTTATTGTGCAGCCCTCCTTTTTTCCTCGGCTGCTTCCCCCAGCTTCAATCGACACCACTGACTGACCCAGCAGAGGAGTATAACGTCAATTTTGATTCGACTCGATCACAATCGCACAATACCTTGCTCGAACCTTCCCCCACCCCCAGGTTCTACCGACACCGCTGACCCTGCGGAGGCGTATGACGTGGACGACTTCAGTGTGCCGCCCCAGTCTCAGTTTTGTGACTTGCGGCCCTTCTTGCTTCCCCGGCTGCTCCCCCCAGGTTCCATCGACATCACTGACCCCACAGAGGTGTATGACATGCCTTTTGAACCGACTCAAATCGCAAGTCGCCTTGCTGAATCGCCCCCCCTCCCTCAACCCCCAGGTTCCATCGACACCACTGACCCCGCGGAGGTGTATGACGTGGACGGATTCAGTGTGCCGCCCAGCACGATCGCGGCGCTGCAGGCGGGCGGCAAGAAGGTGGTGTGCTACTTCAGCTTCGGCACCTTCGAGAGCTACCGCCCTGATTCTGACAGCTTCCCGAAGCGCGTCAAGAAGGGCCGAGTGTGCCTGGTGAGTGTGCCTGGTGAGTGTGCCAGGTGGGTGTGCCTGGTGAGTGTGCCTGGTGAGTGTGCCTGGTGAGTGTGCCTGGTGAGTGTGTCTGGTGGGTGCAGAGAGCGGTTAGAGAGGGAGGGGTTGCGTGGATGTGGGTGAGCGTAATACTCACTTGAAGGTGGTGTGCTACTTCAGCTTCGGCACGTTCGAGAGTCACCGCTCCGACGCTGATAGCTTCCCCAAGCGCGTCAAGAAGGGACGAGTCTGCCTGGTGCGGAGAGGGTTTAGAGAGGGTTTGGATGGGTTTTGAGTGAACTTAATAGCCACCTGAAGGTGGTGCGCTGCTTCAGCTTCTGCACCTTTGGGAGCTACCGCCCTGATTCTGACAAGTTTCCGAAGCTTGTCAACAACTGGTGAGTCTACCCAGTGGGTGCAGAGAGGAAGTTCTTATCCTACTGTTTTATTTCCAACGATTATCAAATCTGCTCCGATTCTTCAACCTCCCTAATCCCACTTCCTTCGCTTAAACTGCTCACCTCACCCCCTCCAACTGAACCCAACCGCATAAATACCCCTCAGGACCGGTGGTGTCGCAAGTGGTGGCCGGGGGAGCGGTGGCTGAACGTGAAGGATCCAGTGGTCAAGCAAATCATGGAGAAACGCGTGCAGGTGACTGTAGCGAGGGATGGGAGCAGGTGACTGGAGCGAGGGATGGGAGCAGGTGACTGGAGCGAGGGATGGGAGCAGGTGACTGGAGCGAGGGATGGGAGCAGGTGACTGGAGCGAGGGATGGGAGCAGGTGACTGGAGCGAGGGATGGGAGCAGGTGACTGGAGCGAGGGATGGGAGCAGGTGACTGGAGCGAGGGATGGGAGCAGGTGACTGGAGCGAGGGATGGGAGCAGGTGACTGGAGCGAGGGATGGGAGCAGGTGACTGGAGCGAGGGATGGGAGCAGGTGACTGGAGCGAGGGATGGGAGCAGGTGACTGGAGCGAGGGATGGGAGCAGGTGACTGGAGCGAGGGATGGGAGCAGGTGACTGGAGCGAGGGATGGGAGCAGGTGACTGGAGCGAGGGATGGGAGCAGGTGACTGGAGCGAGGGATGGGAGCAGGTGACTGGAGCGAGGGATGGGAGCAGGTGACTGGAGCGAGGGATGGGAGCAGGTGACTGGAGCGAGGGATGGGAGCAGGTGACTGGAGCGAGGGATGGGAGCAGGTGACTGGAGCGAGGGATGGGAGCAGGTGACTGGAGCAGGGATGGGTGCAGGTGACTGGAGCAGGGATGGGTGCAGGTGACTGGAGCAGGGATGGGTGCAGGTGACTGGAGCAGGGATGGGTGCAGGTGACTGGAGCAGGGATGGGTGCAGGTGACTGGAGCAGGGATGGGTGCAGGTGACTGGAGCAGGGATGGGTGCAGGTGACTGGAGCAGGGATGGGAGCAGGTGACTGGAGCAGGGATGGGAGCAGGTGACTGGAGCAGGGATGGGAGCAGGTGACTGGAGCAGGGATGGGAGCAGGTGACTGGAGCAGGGATGGGAGCAGGTGACTGGAGCAGGGATGGGAGCAGGTGACTGGAGCAGGGATGGGAGCAGGTGACTGGAGCAGGGATGGGAGCAGGTGACTGGAGCAGGGATGGGAGCAGGTGACTGGAGCAGGGATGGGAGCAGGTGACTGGAGCAGGGATGGGAGCAGGTGACTGGAGCAGGGATGGGAGCAGGTGACTGGAGCAGGGATGGGAGCAGGTGACTGGAGCAGGGATGGGAGCAGGTGATTGAAGGGAAAGATGGGACAGGGAGACACAATGAATGGGTGTGGTGGTAGTGATGGAGACGCAATGGGGCAGGTGATTATAGCAACGAATGGGTGTAGTGATTGCGAGGGAGACACAACGGTTGGGTGTAACTGCAGAGCAATTACTTGCAGATTTGGCAGGCAAGCGCAGTGAAGGGGAAATCCTTCTTCACCCCTTTTTCTCTGACGCCCCCTCCCCTCCTCGTCATCGCAGCTAGCAGCGAGCAAGGGGTGTGACGGCGTTGAGCCGAATAACATGGACGCGTACTGCAGCAACAGCCCCTTTTTCTCCTCTTCACAACAGCAACAGCAACATGGACAACAAGAACAACCCCCTCTTCACCCCTTTTTCTCTGATTCCCCACTCCAGGTCACAGCTAGCAGCGAGCAAGGGGTGTGACGGTATTGAACCGGACAACATCGACGCCTACAGCAACCGGCCCAACAACAAACCCCCTGCCTCCTCCCCCTCGCAACCCCTCCCTCACCGCCGTCACCCCCTTTCCGCTCTTTGTTCCCACAGCTAGCAGCGAGCAAGGGGTGTGACGGCATAGAGCCGGACAACATCGACGCCTACAGCAACCGCCTGAACGTGTGGCTGCCGCCCTTCTCCCGGAGTGTGCGCATCAGCAAGAAGGACCAGATCCGGTACAACGCGTGGATCGCAGACACCGTGCACAGGTGGGTGGGTGGGCAGTGTGATGTGTTGTGTGTTGTGTTGTGTGTTGTGTCGGAGAAACAGCTCTGTTAATCATCTGCCTGCATTCTGATTCTCTTCTTCTTCTCAGTTCCTTCTGCTGCCTCAGCCACTCTCGTGAAAGAGTCAGAACTCCCACCTCAAGGGTCCTCTCCGAGTGGTGTGCCACCTAGCTGTGAGTTAAGGTAACAACTCTCCACTATGCGAAAGGATAACAAACGGAAAGCATCAGGGATGTGTGAGAGAGTGACTTTACCTGGCCTGGGCTCGAACCGTGCATTTCTCAATGTGCGGCTCGAGCCTGGGTTGGTTCAATCACATTGGTCGCGTGGATTTCCCCCTTGGTGCTCTCCTACCAACCTCGCGTCAACTTCCCTGGTCCCCCAACTACCTACCCTCGAATATTCATACTCAACATTGCTACACCAGAACTACACCTCAACATAACTGGCACCTTATATACACAACCGTGCATATTCGGTGACAGTTGTGTTGTGTGTTGTGTTGTGTGTTGTGTTGTGCGTTGTGTTGTGCGTTGTGTTGTGCGTTGTGTTGTGCGTTGTGTTGTGTGTTGTGTTGTGTGTTGTGTGTTGTGTGTTGTGTGTTGTGTTGTGTGTTGTGTTGTGTGTTGTGTTGTGTGTTGTGTTGTGTGTTGAGCGTGAGTTAACATTAGCATTCAAATGTGGCGGTTCACAGGATCAGATCAGATCAGATACAACGCGTGAATTGCTCGCACTGTGCCACTTGCAGCGTTGTGTGGAGACCGTGAGTCCACTTGCAGCGTTGTGTGGAGACCGTGAGTCCACTTGCAGCGTTGTGTGGAGACCGTGAGTCCACTTGCAGCGTTGTGTGGAGACCGTGAGTCCACTTGCAGCGTTGTGTGGAGACCGTGAGTCCACTTGCAGTGTGCTTCTCAAAAGTGATCTCAACGCGAGGATCGCTGGCTCCGTGCATTGGTGAGCAGTGCATGGTACCAACTGCTCACGTTGCACAACTCGGCAACTGGTGTGTATGCCAAGTTGTGCAGTGCTGTCATCTTTCGAGACGTCTCAAAAGGTGCTGTCAACTGTAGCAAGCACAGTACCCACCTGTTAAGGGTATGATCACCTGTGTACTTCGATTTGCAACATGACAGTGCAGAGGACGATGTTGCATGCAACTTTTGGATTCCTGTCACCGTGTGCACAGGTGAGTGTATGTATAGGCGGTGGTGTGTGTGGCTGCAATGCGGTGCACAGATCGTGAGATGTGAGGAGAATTCGCTCACATACATACAGCACTTGGATTGATTGTATTGTGCACAAGTGAGAGTATGGAGTGGGGTGAGATTGCAAAGAAGCACACCATTGTGGGTTGTGTCACGGTTTGACTGGTCGCTGGTGAAGGGGAATGGGGAAGGAATGGGGAAGGAATGGGGAAGGAATGGGGAAGGAATGGGGAAGGAATGGGGAAGGAATGGGGAAGGAATGGGGAAGGAATGGGGAAGGAATGGGGAAGGAATGGGGAAGGAATGGGGAAGGAATGGGGAAGGAATGGGGAAGGAATGGGGAAGCACAGCGCCTGCCCTGACTTCCCCCTCCCTCCCCCACGTGCCCCCCTTTCAACAGGCATGGCATGATTGTGGGGCTGAATGAAAAACGCCCCACCATGGCAGCAGAGCTGGCCTCCCCTTTTCCCCCCTCCAGTCACGCACTTGCCCGCCCTCCCTTGGAACCCCTTTCATCAGGTACGGCGTGAGTGTGGGGCTCAAGGATGCTCTCACCTTTGCAGGGGCATTAGTCGCCAAGTTTGACTGGGCGCTGGTGGAATGGACGAGTGCAACGCGTTCAGTGACTGCCGTTTCCTTCCCCTCCGCATGTTTCATGGCGTGAGCGTGCGGCTCAAGAATGCCCTTCACATTGTCAGGGGCGCTGGTGACCAACTTTGACTGGGCGCTGTTGGAATGGAGGTGTGCAACGCGTTCAGCGACTGCCCATCCCCCCACTCTCCCAATGTGTTCCCTTCGTCCCTTGCAACAGGCACGGCATGAGCGTGGGGTTGAAAGGTTGCTCTCACCATCGCATGGGCGTTAGTCTCCAAGTTTGACTGGGCGCTGGTGGAGGAATGCAACGCCTTTCTCGTCGGCTGCTCCTCCCCCCCACTCTCCCAACGTGTCCCCTGCTTCCCTTTGCATCAGGCACGGCATGAGCGTGGGTCTGAAAAACGCCCTCACCATCGCAGGGGCGTTAGTCTCCAAGTTTGACTGGGCGCTGGTGGAGGAGTGCAATGCGTTCAGTGACTGGAGCGGTGGGGAGTGGTACAAGGGCAAGTACGAGTGCGACTATGCCAATGTGTTTGTCAAGGTGAGAGGAGAGGAGGGTGGGAAGGGGGAGGGAGGGAGGGAGAGAGGAAGATTGGGGGTACGTATGTGGGAGGGTGGTACAACAGCAAGTACAAGTGGGACTAAGCGAACGTGTTCATCAAGGAGAGAGAAGAGGAGGGTGGTAGCGGGATGGGGAAAGAGGGAGTGCAACGCCACCTTTCCTGACGGGCCTCATATTCTGACTGACTGGTCCTTTTGGCTGGAGCAGCGGCGGGTGGTACAAGTCAAGGGCCGACTATGCCAACGTGTTCATTAAGGCGAGAGGAGGGGAGGGGAGGGAGAGGAGGGATGCGGGGAAGCGGGGGGTACAGCTCCTTCCCTGACTACTCCCCTTTTCCTGACCGCGCTGGTGGAGGAGTGTAACGCATTCAGTGACTGGAGCAGTGGCGGGTGATACAAGGGCAAGTACGAATGTGACTATACCAGTGTGTTTGCGACGGGGAGAGGAGGGGGGAGGAGGGACGGGGGGGAAGAGGTAGAACGGAGAACGCATGCAGTGGTCTCCCCAATGCTCCCGCCTCCCAGGCGAACATGGTAGTGCGTGCAGTAGAGTACACATCAGTGCGACCTTCTGGGTCCCCGTTCCCTCACCCCCACTTCCCCCACTCCCCCTACCCACCAGGCGAATAAGGCGGTGTTTGTGGCGGAGTACACATCAGCGTGGGGCACGACTGCAGGGCGGGAGAACGGCATTCAGTTCCCTCAGGTACGCCCTGCAGCTCCAGGCAGCACGCACTCGAGGCCCTTAGGGAATCAAACAGCCACTCCACCGATTTGCTCCTGATAGGTTCTTCGGTGCTTGAATTGCCACATAGAAAATCCCTTGACTTTGTATTGCGCTAAGGATTTTTTTCAACGCTCTGGGTCATTTGACTAATTGCATTGACAACTGTTATTTTGTTTGTGTGTGTGTTTTGTTTGTTTGTTTGTTTTTTTCTCTCCATATTGTGTGCCTTGGAATGCAGTCGTGCAAGCGATTAACTTTCTTACGGGCCTGACAGAAGTGTTGACACGGCCTGTGACATCAGGCCTAACTTTCCCCAACCCGCCACCCCTCCCCCCACCTCCCTTGTACCCCCCCCCCCCCCCCCCCCCGCCCCCCCCCCCTCCCTCCCCCTTCCCACACCATTCTCCCTGTTCCCCCGGCTATGTGCTCGTGGCTCGACACGTCTCATCATGTCTCCCTCCCTCCACCGTCAAACGCAACGTGCACATCTTCTGCACGTGCCTGGGCTGACAAGACGTGATTCTTCTCTCATCATCTCTCTTTCCTTCTCTTCCAACCCTCTCCCCTCCCTCCTCCCCCCTTCCCATCCCTCGTTCATCGCCTGCAGACAGCAGTGCCCACGGCTTCTCCACATGCCTGCAGACAGCAGTGCCCACGGCTTCTCCACATGCCTGCACGATTTGGACCTGGGCCCCACCAGGTTCCCCTGGAAAATCACTCTTGAGATTTCTCAAAAGTGACTCCTCCGCCCGCCTGCTTGACCCAGACCCCGGCCTCACCTGTTCCCCTGGGCCGACTGCCTCCCCCACCTCCCCAGACTCACACCCTCCCCCCTCTCCCCCCTCCTCTCCCTCCTTCCCTCCGGCCTCTTCGATCCCTTCCCCCCCATCCCTCTCTCAGCACCTGTGTGCGGACAACAATGCACACGGCTTCTCCACGCGACTCCACGACCTGGACCTGGGCCCCACCAAGTTCCTGTGGGCGGACTGCCTGCAGCCCCCCTGACACTCACGCCCCCCCTGCTTCCCCCTCCTCTCCCCCACCCCCTCCCTCTCTCAGCGCATGTGTGCAGACAACAACGCACACGGATTCTCTACACGTCTGCACGACCTTGACCTGGGCCCGACCAAGTTCCCCTGGGCGGACTGCCTGCAGCACCAGCCAGCGGGGTGCGCTGCTGCTGCCTGGCAACTTTGCGTGCAGCCTGCGGTGTACACCGGGTTTAATCAGCGTGGGAAGGGTATGAATGGTGCGGATCAAATAGGACAATGCGTGCGCAGTAAAATATCCAGCTGTACATATGAGTAATATTTTTCTTTCTTTCTTCCCTCGTGCAATGTTCCTCACATGGTACGGCAATACATTTATTTATCTGTATTTATGTACATATGTAAGCAGGCCTTTGAATGCACTTTGACTCAATGGGTTGACTGTTCCTGGCCTTCAATACCTGATAGCCTGCATACATTGGAACATGATAGTGCGGAAAGGTCTTAAGTCTTTATTTGAGTAGGATTAAACAGCACAGTAGTAGTAAGTGTGACATAATCATAGGGCATTTTCAGACACTATTGTTTTAGAAAATCCGTACTTAAGCGAGTCATTCCGCAGTTACCGCGTTGACTGGTTTGGCCTAAGTTTTCGCTCCGAACCTCTTCCGAGCCTCCCCCGCACCTTTCGCTGCTTTCCGAGCCTCAAATGTTCCGAGGTGTCTCGCCTAGCTCGACTTTGCCTACTTATACCTCGTTATTCTTCCATTCATTACTCTCAGTAGTTCAGTACATGAATATCTGTAGTTTCCTACCGTGCTGTTCAGTTCGTTTCCAGAACCCACCCACCCACAACACTTGTGCTTGCTTTCCTTTGTCCCTACTCTCGCTCGCCCGCTCACTCTCCTGACAAGTTCCACTTCGCATCAAACCTTGTCTTCAATCGCTACTTTCGAAAAGGAGATCGCACATTAATACCTCCTTTTTCAAATTCTCTACCTTGTTTCCCGTCATACCTGCTCACCAGCTCGCCTCGTTCTCTCTCCCTTGGTCTCTCTCCTCGTCGCACCCGGTTCCCCCTCTTCCCCGCATGGTAGCGACTGCTGCAATGAGCGCGAGAGCCGCCATTACCGCACGCGCTGTCAATGCCGCCGCGCCACGCGCAATGTCCGCCTCGCCCGCGCTCAGCGGCATGAGTTCGCGATCCGCTGTGACCGCATCCGCGTGCTGCCGGCCGCGCAGCTGCCTCCCTGCCGCCCCTGCGCGCCGATCTCTGTCGCCCCGCGATGCTGTCATCGTAGCCGTCCATCCGCACGAGAACGGACGGTCGATGCCGCTGGGAACAGGCCGAAGCGGCAAGGCAGCGCAATTCCCGGCGCGGATCGCGGGGATTACGGAGCCACAAAGCCTAAGCACAGCTGCTTCGAGTTACTCTCAAGCAGGAGCGTCGAGCGGTGGAGAACGGTGCAGGACGGTACGGGTGCGGGCAGAGAACACAGAGACGGGAGGGGGAAGTGGTGGGGGAACGGGCGGCGGGGAAGGCGGAAATGGAGGGGGAGGGGGAGGGGGAGGGGGAGGGGGTGGCAATGGAGACAATAAAGACTCGGTTTGGGGAATGTGAGTGTAATGTGCGGCATGTGAAGGGCGATATAAGCTTTTTACCAAATCTGACTTACGGGCTAGTGTGACGTGGCATGCACACTCTACTAGACACTCAGCACGCATGGGGCGCAGCACGCATGGGGCGCAGCACGCATGGGGCGCAGCACGCATGGGGCGCAGCAAGCGTCACGCCTGTGCCCCTCTTCCCATGACGCGCCCCCGTGCATCCCCATAACTGTCTGCACCTGTTGAGCCTCTTTCTGTGTCCATGCTGCACCTGGCACGCCCATGCTGCTCAACCCCGCGCCCCTCTCCTTCCTCACCTGCCCCTTTTGTCCTCCTTGCACCCCCCTGCACCCCACTGCACCCCACTGCACCCCACTGCACCCCCCTGCACCCCCCCGCTCCCCGTCAGGTACCTGCATCTGCTGGACCGCCACCCGCTCGCGGTGAAGGCGGGCACGTCCATGCTGCTCAACCTGCTGGGGGACCTCTTCTGCCAGGTGCGTGCCGGGGGGGGGGGGGGGGGGGGGGGGGGGGAAGGAACGAAGAACGGGGGTGCGTGGGAAGTCATGGCACCAGTATGTGGCCCAATTGATGTTAGAGCTTGAGCTTAGAATTCATGCATTAGTAATGAGCTCAAGGCTCTTTAAGTACATTGGAAATGGGCAAGGTAAAGGTGGGGAGAGAATCGGGGACAATCCTAGGGAATTGGAGGTAATCTCAAGGCAATCTCCAATTGGTGCGTTGGAGATTGTTTGGAGATCACATTTGGGTTTGGTTGGGATGTGGGTGTACACCCAACCAAACACAAAGTACAAACTACACTAAACTAGGATATAAAATGTATAAGTACAAATGTGAGATTGAGGGCTAACATTAACACCCCCCCATAGGCGTCAATCGAACTCATGGGAGAGAAGACGGAGCGCAGAGCCCCATGGTGCATGGGAGGCGATGGTGAGGAACCTTTCCAAGGGGCTTGATGAACAGATCAGCCAAGTTGCAGTCAGAGGCCACATACTCCACATTGAGCTGCTTCCGCTGGACAAGGTCACGGATGAAGAAGTGCTGATGTTCGATGTGCTTGGTGCGAGTGTGGTACACGGGATCCTGGGACAGGTGGATGGTACTCTAGTTGTCACACTAGAGCATGGGAGTGGGCTGAGGGTAGCCAAGCTCCTGGAGTAGGAAGGTGAGCCAGCGGGCCTCCTGAGCCGCCATGGTGCCAGCGTAGAGCTCGGCCTCACAGGAGGAGAGGGAGACTGCTGACGTTGGGTGGAGCACCAGCTGACAATTCCGCTCCCAAGGGTGAAACAGTAGCCTTGGGAGGAGCGTCGGTCGGTCTGGTCATCAGCCCAGGAAGAGTCTATGTAACCTTCCAGGCGAGGAGGAGAAAGCCCACCAAGGGAGAGGACATGAGACTTGGGGCCCTGCAGATAGCGCAGCACCCGCTTTGCCACTTTCCAGTGGAGGTCAGTGAAGCGTCCAGGAGCCACATACCGAGAGAGGACACTGACAGGGTATGCCGGGTCAGGCCGGGTACACATCATGGCGTACATGAGGGACCCAACAAGTTCTGGGTATGGCTCAGTGCATGCCTCTGGTGTGGGTACAGCTGGGGCGGTGAGGAGGTGTTGCAGCGGCAGGTGGGTGGCCGTAGGTGTGCACAGCTCTCAAAGCGCTTGAGCACATTGTTGATGTAGAACTCCTGGGAGAGTGAGATGGTGCGAGCCTGGCGATCGCGAGTTATCTCCATCCCGAGGTAGTACTTGAGGTCACCGAGGTCTTTCATCAAGAGGGTTACTCAGAGCTGCCTGGACAGAGGTCATCTGGGCCGGGTCTTTGGCAACGAGGATGAAGTCATCGACGTAGACAAGGATGTAGAATGGCTTAGAGTGACGACGGATGAAGAGAGTTGGGCCAGCAGATGATGGGTGAAAGTTCAATGAGAGAAAGACTTCTTTCACTTTGTTGTGCCATTCACGAGGGGCTTGTTTGAGTCCGTAAACAGGGCGATTCAGCTTCCAGACAGTGTTGGGAGGGAACTCTTCTGGAAAGCCTTCAGGTCGATCTATGAACACTATCTTCTTGAGGCGTCCTTGCAGGAAGGCCGAGGAGGCATCCATGGATTTGATCTCGAAGTCTTCTCGTGCTGCTATATCCAAGAGCGTACGAACGGTGGGAGGTTTGGATGTGGGAGAGAATGTCTTGAAGAAGTCAAAGTACTGCTGCTGAGTGAATCCCTTGGCCACGTAGCGTGCTTTGAACACTGGGGCCTCGTCCGGAAGCTGTTTCACTCGAAACAGCCACTTGCCCCCAACGATGAACTCGTGGTGGTGGAGTTTCGCCGTCGAAAGAGTGGTTGCGAGTGAAGGCTTCACACTCAGCTTCCATGGCAGCACGCCACTCGGCAGCATGGGACCCGAGAGAGCCTCTTGAACGGTCAGAGGGATGGGGATGGTCGGATTCTCCGAGAAGTTGAGTGAGGGTGATTCAGTGATGTCGGGGAAGATGTGCGAGAGCTGAGGAGTGACAGCGTGGAGATCACACAGCTCCTCATGCCTGTCTTCCAGAAGGGTAGAGGGCACATCCCCCCCAGCAGGAGGAGTCGGAGTGATCACTGAGCATCGAATGGCAAGTGCCAGTGGAGGAGCAGCCCCATGCGACCTAGTGTCATGAGCCAACGGAGAAGAAAGTGGAGTGGGCGGCACTGGAGGTGTTGGTTTAGGGGGTTTGGGCGGATGGATCGGCCGTCGCTGGTACGTGATCAGTTCGGGCGGTTGTGGGGGAGCGTTTTCCTGAGTGGAAGGGGGAACAGGGGGAGGAGGTGGGGCTGGAGGGTTTGACCGCCGATGGTATATGATTGGTGCGCTTGGTGGTGGGAGCGTAGTTGGTGGAGTGGGAAAGGGGAGAGATTAGGGAGCAGTTGCCGAGGACACCGGTGAGGTGGAGTGGGATTGTGTGATGGCAGGGGAGGTAGGAGGTGAGGGAGCTGGTGCAGGCGGAAGTTCAAGGGGTGCATCAAAGTCAGCCCACACAAGAGAGGGTGGTCCGGAGGAAGGATCCCCCTCCGAAGAGGAGTAGAAGGGGCGAGTCTCGTCGAAGACAACGTTGCGGCTTCGGATTAATTGTTGAGTAGAGGGGTTGAAGAAGAGGTAGTCAGGGGAGTCAGTGTTATGCCCAAGTTAGATGCATGTTTGAGTTTTGGGGCCGAGCTTGCCACCTTGCTGTCGTGGAGCCTGAGGGTTGAGGAGGACATAGGCGATGCACCCCCATGCGCGAAGGGGGCGAGCAGTGGGTGTTTTCCCGAGCCAGAGTGTGGTGGGAGTGGTGTCAAGAAGATGCGGGTGGGGGTAGAGGTTGTAGAGGAGGGCGGCATGGCAGAGGGTGTACCCCCAAAGTGAGAGTGGTGCGTTGGAGTGGCTGAGGAGGCAGCGGGTGATCTGTGCCAACGTGTGATTGCGACTCTCTGCGATGCCGTTTTGCTGCGGGCTGTCAGGAAGGGTGAAGTTTTGTAGAATGCCTTCTGAGGAGCAGAATGTCTTGAGCTTATCATTGCAGAATTCACTAGCACCATCTGAATGGAGGCGCTTGACCTTGCGGTCAAAGGTGGTCTGTGCCAGATTGACCCACGCCATGATGACCCCTGGAGCCTCAGCCTTATTGTGCAGGAGGTGCACAGAGACGTAGCAGGAGTGGTCATCAACTAAAGCAAGAAAATATCGATAACCGCCTCGTGCGGCAACAGGGGCAGGGCCCCAGACGTCCATGTGCACTAGGTCTAGTGGGGCTGCATCGACTGAAGGTGAGGTAGGGTGGGGTTGTTGGCGTAACTTGCTCTTGGTGCAGTCAAGGCACATAGGAGCGGGAGACTCAGGTGGTGGAGGAAGTGAGGCTAGTAGGCCGAGAAGAAGCTTCTTGGAGGCCATGTCAGCAAGCGTGCGGAAGTTTGGGTGCCCGAGCCGATGGTGGTAGAGGATGGTCGGGTTGGAGAAGCTGCGACATGAGCATGGTGTGATAGCAGCCTGTGCTTGGGAGGTTGACACTTGTTGGATAGGTACTCGCAGCGTGTTAAGGCCGCTGCTATTGAGGGTGAAGCGAGCCAAGGCCTTGTTGGTGAGTGGGTCGATGATGTCACAGTAGTCCTTGTTCTCCGAAAATTTGGTGCGTAACTCCGCCTCTTGAATTTCTGTTTGAGCCACTAGATTGTGGCGTAGTGAAGGCACGCACATGCTAGTGACAGTGCCGGATGGGAAGGCAAGGCATAGGACAGTGGACGAACCCTTGGCAAAGGTGGTGAAGCTTGAATCAGTTCCCAAGAGAGGATTAGGTGTTGAATAAGGTTTGAAAAATAGTGTCTCCTTGAGCATTGTGTGGGTGGCCCGCTGTCGAGTGTAAACTCTATGTACTGTGATGCCTACGGCGAGCCGATATACTGCGAGGTTGCTTCATTGATCATGGCGGTACCAGGGATTAACAAGTTGATGGTTGCCGAGGCGAAGGCCATGGTGAAGAACCTCTTTCTCGCGCGAAATGTCTCTCTTAAGTCACCGATAAAAACTTCGGGTTAAGGGTTTACGAAGGAGAATTGCTAAGTAGGGTTTATGAAGGAGAAGTTTGAGGAGAGGTTTAGCGATTTCGAAATCCGAAGGTCCCGAAGAGCGAAGAACGTTAATGTTGGCCGCGTCAGGATGTCTCATAGAAGGTTAAAGGCTGACGAAAATAGGTTGAAACGTCTGTTTTTGGTAGTGTCAACTAACTACTAACCCTGTTCCCACACACCCCCCCACACACCACCCTTAGCTTCGCGGCTACACTGCTGCTCAGCTTCACTGCTACACGGCTACTCAGCTGTGCAGCTTCACCTGTTCAGCTGCGGGGTGATGGAAGTGCCGTTGCGGGGCGACGGGCGGCAGCCCAAAGGTGACGCTGTAGGGCGACGGGCGGCAGCCCGAAGAGAAGCTGCAGGGCGACGGGCGGCAGCCCGACGATTGACGAGATGGGAAAAATTGGGTTACGCCGAACCGGGAAGGGCGGCGGGACAAATTCGCGGTGATGAGGGAGAGCGTCGAGGAAATGGTAGCTACGGTTACCTTAAGCGAGACGCATAAATCGGTGCCTCGTAACTGAAGGAAAGGTAGTATCGGAGAGAATCTACCCACTGAAAATGTTGCGAATCAACGGCGACGAGGGCGGCGCGGGAAAAATTCCGGCTGGGAAGAAGATTCGGTCGATAAAGGTGCTTTACGTCGAGCGATGAATGTTGAAGGCGGCTTCGCCTAAGGGTGCGGGAGAGGATTCTGCAAAGGTAAAAAGATCAAGATCTGCATGTGCGGTTGAAGAGCTTTGATACCATGTTAGAACTTGAGCTTAGAATCCATGCATTAGTAATGAGCTCAAGGCTCTTTAAGTACATTGGAATTGGGCAAGGTAAGGGTGGGGAGAGAATCGGGGACAATCCTAGAGAATTGGAGGTAATCCCAAGGCAATCTCCAATTGGTGCGTTGGAGATTGCTTGGAGATCACATGTGGGTTTGGTTGGGATGTGGGTGTACACCCAACCAAACACTAAGTGCAAACTACATTAAACTAGGATATAAAAAGTACAAGTACAAATGTGAGATTGAGGGCTAACATTAACACTTGAACCTGCTGGGAGACCTCTTCTGCTAGGTAGGTGCGCGGATTGAGTGAGTACAGATTTTTCAGGCTCCTCAAAAATCGTCTCAGTTCACGCAGTTTATATACAGGGAATGTTTATATTGCATGGAGGTGTGCACGTAACTTGCAAAAGTTACTCGTGCGAGCGAAGGTTCCAAGGCTTATCGATAGCCCTGACGAAGACACCACGGAAGGCTGACATTTGTGACCTTGGGTTTTTACCCAGTGCTGTGTTGGCGAATGACGATTGTTAGGCAATCTGGGTAGTTGGGAACCTTGATTTCTGTTCGTGGTGTGGGTTAGTACTTAGCTCATACCTAGCTGTAGATTTCATTGTGTTCAGAAGCACTGATGAAGGCTTGACGGGTTTTCCCCCGACTTGCCGAAACGTGTTTGTGACGTGTTCTCTTTGAGTGAATACAGCTTTTGCGTTCAAGATATCTCTTAGCAAGGGTTTTTAGAACTCTCTTTCTTACTTGCTAAAGCTTTTTCCTAGCACTGCTACCCTTCCTAACCATGAGTGACGACGACCCGTAGGTGCGCGGATTGAGTGAGTACAGGGGGAGGGAGAGAGATGCAATTCAAGGGGGCTGTTTGTGTCAGTGCTTTGTATTCTGGTCAATGCTGGTCAATGCTGGTCAATGCTGGTCAATGATGGTCAATGCTGGTCGATGCTGGTCGATGCTGGTCAATGCTATCAACGCTGGTCAATGTCAGTGACTGCCGTATCGACTGTGGTGCTGTGGTGCGGCATATGGCATAATGTGTTACAATGTGGCATGGCATGGCGTAATGTGAGTGACATGACATGGCGTAAGTGAGTGACATGGCACGTGTGTTCCTCTGGCGGCATGGCCTGCGTGATGACATGACATGACATGACATGGCATGGCATGCTTGACACCATGGAGGGCAACACCAGGTGGTGGTGGAGGGAGGGCACGGGGTGGATGCGAGGAGGGCAGCCACCATCTCCCTGCTGGGGCTGCTGCTAGTGGGCCCCACGCTGCACGTCTGGTAACCACCCTGGTAACCTCCCTGCACGAATGGTAACCGTACTGCATGTCTGGTATATGCACTGAATGCCTGGTAACCGCACTGAATGCCGTGTAACCGCCCTGCACATCTGGAAATTATGGTGCACGTCTGGTACCCCCTCTGCACGCCTGGTACCACTCTGCACGTCTGGTAACCACCCTGCTGCTTAAGACATCACCTTCCTTGCTCAGATTCCTCTCGTCTCAGTTGCCATATGTCCACTGCAATCCATCCACTGCAATCCATCCAGTGCATGTCCAGTGCACTGGTTGCCAGTCCATGCCTGGTTTGAATTGAACTGCCTCACTGTCCCGTGTTCCAGATGCGCCATTCCATGAAAGGGCATGCTGCATTTTCCTTTATCACAACCTCTTGTTGCATTCTCCCTTGCGTGGCATCCCAATGGCATGGTATGGCATGGTGTGGTGTTGCAATCTTCTTTGCATGGCATGGTATGGCATGGCATGGCATGGTATGGCATTGCATGGCATGGTATGGCAATCTCCCACATGGCATGGGCAATGGCACGCCATGTGCATGCAATGCATGGCACATGCAGGTACTCACTGCTGTTCCGCATGGTCACCGTGCAGGGCACTCCCGGCACCCTTATCCGCCTCGCTCTAGACCAGGTACCCCTTTTTCCATGCACATACTACATCACCCCCGCGCTACATCACCCCCGCGCTACATCACCCCCTCGCTACATCACCCCCGCGCTACATCACCCCCGCGCTACATCACCCCCGCGCTACATCACCCCCGCGCTACATCACCCCCTCGCTACATCACCCCCGTGCTACATCACCCCCGCGCTACATCACCCCCGCGCTACATCACCCCCGCGCTACCTCACATCCATGCTTCTCCCCCATGCGCATGCTTCTCCCCCATGCGCATGCTTCTCCCCCATGCGCATGCTTCTCCCCCATGCGCATGCTTCTCCCCCATGCTCACGCCTCTCCCCCTGTCCACTGCTCATACATCTCCTCTTCCCTCGCTCTTCCTGTCCTTGCCTGTGAGACGGCTGCCCATGCCTCCTCCCATACCTGCGTCCCTCCTTCTCTCTCTTGCTCCCTCATCAGCTCCTCTTCCCACCGCTCGTCATCGCACCCTTCTTCTCTCCATCAACCTCTGTCTCGCTCCCCGCTCGGTTGCACCCCTCTTCGCACACCCTGCATCCCGTCCCTCGCTCTCTCCCACCACCCCACCAGCTCCTCTTCTCGCCGCTCTTCATCGCCACCTTCTTCTCCAGCCTCCTCACCCTCGAGGGCCGCCCTGCTGCCATCCCTGACGTGCTCAAGCAGGTCAGAGCCGCATCCCTTTTATATATATATATATATTTTAAGCAGTTGGCCAGAATTTTTAGTGATTGCCGCAAAAAGGTGCATGCCTGAAGCAGGAAAGGGCCACAACAGAGGTGGCATGTGCTTCCTGTGCCTCCTGTGCCTCCTGTGCCTCCTGTGCAGGATGCTCTTTGCAATGAGATTACTTGCATCAAGTAGTGGTGTTTCTTAGTCGCCCTGCCACCTTGGCTGTTCCCTGGTCCCCGCGCGATCCCCCATCAGGAGTGGGCCAAGGCGGTGGTGGCCAACTGGAAGGTGTGGATTCCCTTTCAGTTCCTCAACTTCCGCTTTGTGCCGCTGCACCTTCAGGTGTGTGTGCCGCTGCATCTTCAGGTGTGTTTGCCGCTGCATCTTCAGGTGTGTGTGCCGCTGCACCTTCAGGTGTGTGTGCCGCTGCATCTTCAGGTGTGTTTGCCGCTGCATCTTCAGGTGTGTGTGCCGCTGCACCTTCAGGTGTGTGTGCCGCTGCACCTTCAGGTGTGTGTGCCGCTGCACCTTCAGGTGTGTGTGCCGCTGCACCTTCAGGTGTGTGTGCCGCTGCACCTTCAGGTGTGTGTGCCGCTGCACCTTCAGGTGTGTGTGCCGCTGCACCTTCAGGTGTGTGTGCCGCTGCACCTTCAGGTGTGTGTGCCGCTGCATCTTCAGGTGTGTTTGCCGCTGCATCTTCAGGTGTGTGTGCCGCTGCACCTTCAGGTGTGTGTGCCGCTGCACCTTCAGGTGTGTGTGCCGCTGCACCTTCAGGTGTGTGTGCCGCTGCACCTTCAGGTGTGTGTGCCGCTGCACCTTCAGGTGTGTGTGCCGCTGCACCTTCAGGTGTGTGTGCCGCTGCACCTTCAGGTGTGTGTGCTGCTGCACCTTCAGGTGTGTGTGCCGCTGCATCTTCAGGTGTGTGTGCTGCTGCACCTTCAGGTGTGTGTGCTGCTGCACCTTCAGGTGTGTGTGCCGCTGCATCTTCAGGTGAGCGCTTACCAAAGCCGATGCACTAGCCTCTCTATGCTACAGGGCAAATGCACTAGGCCCTGTTACATGTTACCTATTAATTTCCACCCTGGAAGCAGAATGGTTCGTCAATTGCTCCTACACTCGGTTACTTCATGGCTCGGAAGGCTAGATAGCAACTAGTTTTCCATCCTACACTGGGGTACTTCCTTGCATGCCTTATACGACACACATTGCTGCATGAAGCAGGTTATTACAGCCTTGGTGGCACACGAATCAGAACCGTTGTTGTTTTGGGCTAATGTGGTGGCTGTGTGCTGTGCTGTGCTGCTTTGGCTGCATTGGATGTTGGCAGGTCGCAGCATCCAATGTAATCGCACTGCTGTGGAATGTATACCTCTCCTTTGCAAGCCATCGTGGTGTGAAGGAGATGTAAATTGGACACTTCTAGTGTGCAGCTTCGGTGCTGCTGCGTCTTCAGAATGCCCTTTTTGCCTGTTATGTATGAGTGAGGACCTTGGATAGGATAGGAGTTGCCTTAGAAGAGTTTGGTAGCGGAAGTCTCTGTAGGAACTCTGATCATAGTGAATGTAAATGACAAAGTTGATTAAAACACGGATTACACACATAATGAATAGTCTTAGCTAGCCATGTACTCTAAAGGGTACATTCCCTTATTTTAACTGCTTTATAGTCATTTCTACAGTGACTCTGACTGCTGCACTTATTTCTTGTTACCGAGTCGCTGCATGTAACCTGTACGTACGGTTACGCCTGTTGCCATTCCTCGATGGTGAGTCAATCGTCGGTCCAGATGGTCAATGTCAGAATGTTATATTTGTTTAGTCTGCAGTGGGGTACTCTATAGTGACTACAGCCCTGCTAGCAGGGCCCTATATATCAGCCTTTTTACGCTGATTCAGCGTTAGATCAGGCTTTTTTTTTTTAGGGGTAGGCTGAATCCAAAGTTTTTTTGTAATGTACCTTGGCTGATTTTTCAGTGTATTTTTTTTTACCTTGTCTGTTTTTTCAGCGTTTTTGTAGGAGTGTAGGCTGTGCACTTAGCCTAGAACTAGGACCATCTTAGTCCTAGTACACTGTACTAACGCAGTCAATCACGAGCGAGAAATCGAAATTTTCCTCGTGCGGCACCGCACAATTGCGCTCATATGCAAATCCGACCAATCGGGGCAAGATTCGCTTTGCGCAGCAGGCAGCAGGCAACGTGTTGAGAATAGAACGAGAATGAATGAACTATGAATGAAGTGAGTACAAATAGGAAACCCTAACTGGTTGTACCCCCTATGGGATACCCCACTACAGCCTACACAATAGTATAAGCTATATATATGTTCTGACACACCCCCATAGGCAAAGTGGGGGAGAACAAGGGGTCACAAGACCAGTCAAGCAAAGCAAAGCAAAGCTCAGGGTGGATCACAAAGTCACCACACAGTCCGAGCACAAGAGCAAGGCCAAAGGCCAGTTCACATGCAAGAGTACAGACATATATATAAAGCTAGACAAGCAAGAGCAGGTATATATATGTCACAGTACAAGTAAAGTCAAGAGGAGAGCAAGTGAGGCAAGACAGGCACAAGACCCAGCTGGGTGCAGAAGCGCTGATGGTCACAAGGCGCGAGTGCCTTGGTGAACACATCAGCAGTGTTGGCCTCAGAGGCCACGTACGCAAGCCGCAACTGTCCACGCTGTTGTAGCTCACGAGCAAGGAAGTAGCGAAGAGCAATGTGCTTCGTTCTGTGCTCCAGACGCTGCTCTCGACACAAGGCCAGCATGGCCTTGTTGTCTACGTACAGCACTGGAGGAGAACGAGGCGGCTCTCCAAGGTCAGTCAGCAGGTAGGTGAGCCAGCGAAGCTGCTGTGCAGCCATGGCCCCTGCGTAGATCTCAGCCTCACAGCTGGAGCTGAGAACCGAAGACGAACGAGTAGCCCGCCACGAGACAGAGCCGGAACCAAGGCTGAAGGTGTAACCCTGTGACGACCGCTGCGTAGCCTGGTCGTCAGCCCAAGAAGCGTCCGCGTGACCTGTAAGGACCACTGGACTCCGCCCTCCAAGCACTAGGCCCATGCCCGACGTACTGCACAGGTAGCGCAACACCCTCTTCGCTGCAGCCATGTGCTATGGTCGGTGTCTCCCAGGAGCAACATAGCGTGCAAGAATGCTCAGAGGGTATGCAAGGTCAGGTCGTGTGCAGGTCATCAGGTACATGAGGCAGCCAACAAGCTCTGGGTACGGGCCACTCGACTCTACGGACTCATCCGAAGGCAGAGCTGAGAGTGAGTGGCGGGTAGACAGAGGAGTGGCCTGAGGCGAGGAGTACGTGAAGCCGAAGCGCTGAAGGACCTGCTGCACCATGTGTGACTGAGTCAAGGTAATGGTGCGGCGTGCTCTGTCCCGAGTGATCTGCAAGCCAAGGTAGCTGCGCAGTTCACCCAGGTCTGTGCACGTGTGTCTCTTCAGCAGCTCGGACTTCACGTAGGCGAGTCCAGCAGTGTCCGCTGTGGCAAAGACCAAGTCGTCGACGTACACGAGGATGTAGAACGGCGGCAGGGAAGTGTCGGTGCGAAGAAACAGCGACGGGTCAGCAGTAGAAGGAGCAAACCCAAGAGCCGCAAGCGTAGTCCTCAGTGTGTCGTGCCACTCACGCGGTGCCTGGCGGAGACCGTAGACTGGCCGTCGGAGGCTCCACTGGGTGCCAGGAGGGAAAGTCCCAGTGAAGCCAGGTGGACGGCGAAGCCAGATCTCCTCGTGCAGGCTACCCTGCAAGAACGCAGTGCTGAAGTCGAGAGAGTGAAGCTCGTAGTCGCGCTGAGCGGCTATGTGCAGCAGCACCCGAAGAGAGGTCATCTTCGGGGTGGGAGAGAAGGTCTGAAAGTAGTCAACTCCCTGCCGCTGACTGAAGCCACGAGCGACGTACCGCGCCTTGAAGACAGGTGGAGAGCCCGGCGGCCGCTTCACCCTGAAGATCCACATGCCACTGACGATGTTCGCCCCAGGAGGGGGAACCGCGTCAACGTAGGTGCCTGTGGACTTCCAGGAAGCCATCTCTGCATCCATAGCTGCCTGCCACTGAGAGGAGTAGGGACCCTCTACGGCCTCCGCGTAAGAGCGCGGAGTCGGGATGTCTAGTGCATCCGGGTCTCCCTCAGGAGCAAGCAGTACAGACGCGAGATGAGGTGAAGCAGCAGCCAGACACTGTAACTCCTCCTGCCTGTCCTCTAGGACGTCCGTGCCAAGAGCACACTCACCCCCGACGGACGGAGGACAGACAGACGCAGACTCAGCAACAAGACTAGCAGCGTAGTCTAGACGACAGCGAGCAGCAAAGTCGACGAGCTCAGCGACAAGAGCAGACGCAGCAGTGGACTCAAACGAGGGGTCAGTGACGACAGTGGCAAGCAGACGCGTGACAGTAGGACTGGCAGCACAAAGGGATTCCGACTCAGGGTCGGCAAGCGCAGGAAGAGAGGACTCAGGAGGAGAAGGCAAAGGGGCACGCAGAGGAGCAGTGGACGGACGCAGAGACATCCGGTGCGTGCCAAGGACAGGAGGAGGACGCTGACGCGAACCGCGACCACTAGCGCGAGCAGCACGAACAGGCGACGCGGGACGAGACGCAGGCTCACGACGCTCAGCAAGACCTCCAGTAGGACCAGTGTAAGGAGAGGGAGCAGGTAGAGGGGAGGAAGGCTCCAACAGTGACTGCGACTGGACAGGCTGTGGACACTCTACCGGAGGAGAAAGACCAAGAACCTGCTGCAGGAGCGGAACAAAGTACGGTCGAGGCCGCGCGGCAGCTCCAGACTCAGCACGGACAGCACCAGCACCCTCAGCGGCAGCACCAGCGCCACCAACACCTCCAGCGGCTGGACCTTCAGCAGCACCAGCAGGAGAACCACCGCGAGGACAGACAGCAGTAGTCTCAGCACCAACACCCTCAGCAGCCCCAGCTCCAGTAGGACCCGCAGGCCCAGCAGCTCCGGGACCGGCGGCACCAGCACCCTCGACGGTCGAAGAAGCTCCAGCTCCAGCAGCACGCCTCCAGCGGCGAGCAAACCACTCGCGCAGCTCCTGTGGAGAGAGGGGCTCCCGCCGAGACGCAACACCAGGAGAAACCCCAGGCTCAGCAGCCCCAGACGCAGCACCCCCAGGCCCAGTAGCTCCAGACGCAGCACCCCCTAGCTCAGCAGCTCTAGGCACAGCACCCCCCGGCTCAGCACTCCCAGGCTCAGCACCCTCCGTAGTAGCACCCCCAGGCTCGGCACCCCCGCGCACAGCACCCCCAGAGTCAGCACCCCCAGGCCCAGCACCCTCCGCAGTAGCACCCCCAGGCTCGGCACCCCGGCGCACAGCACCCCCAGAGTCAGCACCCCCAGGCTCAGCACCCGCAGCAGCACCAGAGTCACCAGTAACCTCGACCGGGTCAACTGCGTCTACCTTGGACACACCTGAGGGGGCAGGAACCTGAGGGGGGGGGGGGTCTACCGGGGGGGGAACCGGCACAAGGAAGTCCGGTGGTGGGGGAAGGGAAGGAGTGCGGTAGGGGAAGAGGCGGTAGAAGGGGACTGACTCGTCGAACGTGACGTCCTGGGAGGACAGAACACGACGAGAGGAGGGGTGGTAGAACTGCCACCCTGGAGCGTCAGGGGGGAAGCCAAGGAAGACACAGGGAGCAGCACGAGGGGACAGCTTGTCCGCAGACAAGTCGCGGACAAACGCCCGAGATCCCCAGACACGGAACGCAGACGCATCGCCGACCTTCCCCGTCCACAGTAACACTGGGGACATCGCGGGCCAAGAGACCCTGGGGTGAAGGTTGAGCTGATGCGCCGCGTACCTCACCGCAAACGGCCACAGAAAATGGGGGGCAGCCGCATGCATCATGGACGTACGAGCGACATCCATGACCATGCCAATGCGGCGCTCACCAATCCCATTTTGCTGTGGAGAGTCCGGAAGCGTGAAGGTCTGACGGATCCCCCGTGCACGACAGTAGTCTCGCAGAAGGCGAGAGGAGAACTCCCCGCCTCTGTCCGAGTGCAGACGCAGAATCGGAAAGTCCGAGCCGAAGCTCCTCCTGAGCTGGAGACGAGCCTCGCGGATCCAGCCGATCAGCACCTCAGTGACAGCACCCTTGCTGCGCAAGGGGAGGACTGTGGTGTAACGCGAGTAGTCGTCAACAACCAACAGGAAGTAGCGCTCGTGACCCTGCCCACGGACGGGGGCTGGGCCCCACACGTCCATGTGAAGCGTCTGCAGAGGAGCCTCTGTCGGGGGGAACTGGGAGGAGTGAGGAGCAGCCCGAAGGCGCCCCTCGACACAGGGGACACAGGAAGGTCCTGGCCCGGAAGGAAGGGGAGGGAGAGAGTGGGGAAGACCAGAGACAAGGACACGGGAAGCCATGCTCCGAAGA